ATAATGGATTCTGATGGTCATGATTAGGGATTTAATGAGATTTAATGGTGATTAATAATTAGGGATTTAATGGGATATATTTATAATCCCTTCCCCCTAGGCCCTAATATTAAACACCCCAGTCAGGATCAAAACACGTATTCGGACTCAGAAAAAGCTTGTGTTTAATATCAGGTGGATGGGATGATATTGGATAGCATGACCCCCGAACAAATGAACAAATCCTCAACAGGGGTAGATCGCCATCACTGCGTCCGTCCTTAGGGTCACCACCATGATCCACAACTCTGGTTCCTCCTGAAGGTGGGAAAGCTGGTGCCAACCGAAGATGTTCATGATGGTATTCTGGTTGGTGGTTGACCTACCCCTCTGAAAAATATGAAAGTCAGTTGGGATGATTATTCCCAATACATGGAAAAATAAAAAAATGTTCCAAACCACCAACCAGTATTTGATTGTAGAGGGGACATCTGATGGCTAATTGATAGTGCTACTTTGGATGAATTTGGTTCCTGTCCACATCTGCCAAACAATATTGGTTATGCTACACCTCAAAAAATTAATGCACACCCGTCCATGAGCGGTGATTTTGCTTACGCCCAGCATAGGTACTGAAGGTGCCATGGTCGTGAGAATCTGTAACCAGGGCCCGTCAAACATCGGTTTGTCTGAAATTGGGTTACCCCCCAATTCCAATGGAGTATAATTTTCTCTGTCAAATGCTGTAACTGTGGGGTGTACCCACCAGTTTCAGATGAAAAAAACAAAGATCATATTTTGGCTGTAGTTATATCTCATCATCCCTATTATTTCACCATATCCACTTTATACCCACTCTATATCGCAGTTAACCCATGTTATAACCCCAGTATATCTCCCCTCTATCCCCAAATATCTCGAAAATATCCCCATATACTCCCCATTAGAACGTATCCCGTTAAATATGGCAGTTTTCCACCTTCCCCAAGAAATGCCCAAAACGCACAAAGCTTCGCTCCTCCAAAACAGCTGCTGTGGCAGCCGCGGCAGCAGCGGCGGCAGGTTCACAGTCGTCTGGGCCGAAAATCATGGATATCATCGGGATACAAGGGGGACAACATGAGGACATCATGGAGGCATACGATGTAACCTACCATTTTATTGGTATATAGATGTACAGTATATAGTATATAGTGGGGATATCAGGATATCCAACTGATCAACTGGATATGAACTTTGAGTGTGTCTGAAATTGTGCAAAAAAAAAACAGTTCCAGCCATTGCGGGTCAAAGGATGATCAAGCATCAAATCGGGATGCAGATCTCAAATGGTTGAGTGTCAACTGCTCTTCCAGTGGGACCAGTTGAAGCAGGCCTACCCGCTACCCTTTGACGTCCAAATCTCACCAGAAAACCAGTTGAAATCACCCAGTTGAACCCCTGAGCCACTCCTTCAAGGAAAATCCGACCAGATTTGGCGACGTCCCTTGGAACCTTCGGCATCGAAAGAATCTAAAGGATGGTTGACATTGGAAGCCTATTTCCAAAAATTGGCTTTCTTGGATGTTTGTACATCTTTGAGTGCCTTCCTCTTACTTCAGTTTGCAGACAGAAATGGTATTCTTTCCGCGACCCGACCCGAGGAAGTCTGATATCAAAGTTATCATAACATCAAACACAGAAGATCATCACCCTGAATATGTTTGTCAAAGATTGTTAAACGGAGACTTTTGAACTGCAAACAGCCACCCAAAAGTGAGGTGTGTAGAGGCTGTTTGGCATGGTCATGACATGTCATGCCTTTCAGGCTCTTGAAACCCTCATCATATATGTGCACTGTAACATAATCATATGCAATATTCATATATCTATATCGGTACATCATATACCATCATGGCATGAATTCCTTATGCATATGCATATGTTATCAATATGATTGTTCATCCTCATCCAATCTAGTCCCCAATCGAATCGGGCCAACTCTATGCTCGCTGGTGCATCAACCTGGCAGCTGGTGCATCAGAGCAGCTTTCTTTCAAAGGAAGGAATGGCTTCTTCGTCGCAAATCGTGGTAGATACAGGGCCAGCTATCTATCTACATATATATATATATGCATGTGTATAATTTTATTTTTATATATATATTATATAATGATCCCCTTGAAGGAGAACATGCCTGAGCTGTTGGCAAATACACTGCGTAGGCAAGCCTCCTGATTTTTCTGCTTGTCAACGTTTGAGGTATAGCCATCTAGCCGCGAGCGGCACAGTGCAGGCTCTGGACCAGATGTTTCCAGGATCAGTGACCAGCACGAACTCGGCTCAAGGAGCTCTTAATGGCTCGTGTTATGATAATAAATTCAAAGTCACTCAGCATTCAATTTTCCAGGCAACGACGTGAAACCTGAGCAGAGCTGAGTGGCTGAGTAGGAAAAAATCATGCACGGGCTATCACAGGCTGCAAGTTCTATGCTGAACTTGGGGCCACGTCTACGGCACCTTCCGCACAAGATCCGCAACATTCTTCACCATGTCTGCAACCTGCTTGGTTCTCTTTGCTGCACTGGCTGCCTTGACGAGCTGTGCACCTTGCTGCCCAGCCTGCACAGCCTTTGCAGCTGCTGTAGCTCCGTTGGCTGCGCTGGTGGCAACTGCTGAGGTCCCTAAGCTGGCGATGTCGGCGGCCAAGCCTACTACACCCTTAGCAACCAACCATGGGTTGCCAGTTGCAACGCCAACTCCCAGTTCTACAGCAGGACCAACCACGGGCACGAAGCCGGTGACAAATCTTACAGCAGCAGAAGCCATGGCTCCTCGCAAAAAAATCACAAGGTGGTCTTCTCTCAACTGCAGTTCCGTAGGTGATGCTTGCTGGTAGCCAATCTGCGAGAACGTGTCAAAATGGTCACAGCTGTGCAAACCGAATGAACTCCAAGCGCCTTTCTGCACAAGTGTAGCACATTCTCTGACAGTGCCAAAAGAGGTTCTGTTCCAAAAGACAACGTTGCTATGAACGATCAATGATTTCAACGGGAAAATTAGCTATGGCAATGGTGATCTGGTTGCTTTGCTTGGCAAGTTCACTCTCTCCCGACTCTGAAACAAGCCAGCTGGACCGTTTGTTGATGTTCGTCATCACCGGGATGTTTGAAATGGGTTCTTTGTTGGGTTGCTGTGCTTGGCTGTTTGCTGGAAGTGCTGATCCTGGATGTGTTTTACAGTAATGCTAGTATGCTGTTCTGGACTTTCTATTGATGATTTCTTGCCGGGCTCTTGTTGAGTTTGAGTGTGTGTTGGGGTTGTCTGTCGTGTTTTTCCTTGTTTGTTGATAGCTTTGCTGTTCCTGTTATGCTGTGGCCTGGGCGCTGTGGCCTGGGTGCTGGTGTTGCCTAAGCCATCCTAAACCTAGCATTAGCTCACTGCAGCCGCCGGACACTCGCTGTGTTTTCTGCTGGAATGTCCACCAACAATGCCGAGGTGAGAAAGAAACCCCATTAGGAATGACTAGTCAAAAAAAAGTTACGGATTGTTCGGTTGACACATTTGCAGTACCTTGGGGATTCACTGTCAGGAATGCAAACATCTCCAAGAAATGACCACAACGGAGCCGTAAACAAGGTCCGAGCTTCCTCTTCATCCCGGCAGGCGTAAACTGGATCTGTTCTAAAACCATTGCGCCTAAGTTCCTACCATTTCGTGAAACGAAGCGATGCAGCCGCGGCAGCTACTAGGCCCAAAAAGTCAGAGATGACGACCACTGAGCTTGTCAGGGAGATGGGAAAAGCTGGGCTGAAACACAACACTTACTGTAAATCTATGGCTCGCAAACTTTTACCTTGGCAAATCTCTGACTCTCTGGTGCATCAGAGGTGAGGCAGACAAGAGACAACCAGAGATCTTTAGCTACCGTTTGATTGGTGGACTAGGCCCAAGCCAAGAGATCTACATCCTGCGGGGATCGTTTCTTTCGTGCGCAGATCCATGGTTAGCAACTGGTACATCATATGGTCTGTAAGTGAAGTACATCTCCCGTATTCAAAAGTACCAATTGATGTGGTAAGCCCGTTGGTAATTAATGTCGACCTCGGATTCATAAACCCTGGAAGAATCCAGAACAGTGTTCCCCCCGGACTCCCAAACAAGAGCCAATTACTCTGCTGCCAGCCCTAAAACAAAGATGGTAGCCCCCGTCTTAAAACGAGTTTAGATTGTTCCGGAGTTGCCTTGCTTTACCCTCTGGTAATTTGTTACATAGCTATTGAAAATGGTCCAGTCGAAATAGTGGATTTTCCCATGAAAAATGGTGGTTTTCCATATAGTTATGCCATTTATAGTGGATTTACCCATGAAAAATGGTGGATCTTTCCATAGTTTTTTGTATGTTTACCAGGCCGGGTATATCTTTATTGGGTTTGACAAATTACAACCACTCAGCCGGATCTCTGAGTATCCCCCAAAGGGCAGGCCGGGCCCTCAGCCACTGGAACGAGCCCTCGGTGTCCCAAAGGGTGCCCTCCCGGGTGACCCGTGGTGCCGGTTGGAAAATGGACAGAACATGACAGAACCCTCCAAAAAAAAAAACAGAAGACAGCCATTTTGGTATGGATCAATACCTATGAAAATACCATTTTTAGGGGGTTATTCACATCCATTTTAACCCAGCTATTTTGATGTGAACAAAAAAGGGGATTCCATGGGTTTGACACACTGCCATTTTGGTACCATCCCAATGGCACCCCGGTGCCAGGTATAGCCAGGTGTAGCCAGGTTGCTGGTACACCAGTTGGTCCAAGTCAAAACAATGCTGCCTTCAGCTGATGAGCAGACGCACATCATACGCACATGGATCACAGGTATCCACATTGTATCCACATTGTATCCACATGCACAGAAGGGGCAAGACTGAGAGAGGTGGAATTTGTCATAAATGCTGCGAAAGATCTATCCCCATTTCTGAAAACCACCATTTCAACAAAGCATTTCTGCAAAATCACCATCAAGAAACCACTGACGTCAGAGATTCACGACCAAGCTCCAGACTTATAGACTTGGCGACCCACCAGCGCTTCCAAGTCGCGCTTCACAGTGCCTAAGCACAGCAGGATCTCATCAAATCCCATTACCCCTGCACTTTGCTAAATCCAATTGTTGGTGAAATCCCATGGTTGGCTTCAAATCAGATTTTTGGGTGGTTTTGGATTGGTTAGATTATTTTTTTGGCTTCAAATCACATCTCGGAGCCCAGCTCTCCGCGACAGATCTCAGTCGCGCGTCCAGCAGGAAGTTGAAGGCCTGGAGAAAAAAAAAACATGGTGGATTTCTGTGTCTTTTTCAGAACATGATCTCTAATGGTTTAAACAATGGCGACTGTAATGTTTGTGAAAAAAAAAATCTGGATTACTAATGAAATCGAAAATGGATACTGATGGCTACTGTACTGGTGATTGTTTAAACATCTTTAAACCATGGCTGCTGATGGCTACTGTAATGGTTTTCAAAAATCTGGGTTTCTAATGACATTTAAAAATCTGAAAGTAGTGACATGTCTAATCAATGGGAATTTCAGGATCCTAAAGTGGAGGTACTGTACCATATAAGGCCATATGTTGTGGGGATATTCCCTTACATAGGCCTTATATAGGCCTTATATATGGTAGGTACCTCCAATTTAGGTTCCTGAAATGGCCATTGATCTAATGGATTTTGCTTCAACCACAGAAGGGATGTTGATCTACCAATGATACTGCTCCACCCTCGATGGAGCTACCATGGTGGATCTTGACCCGTGACAGACGTGTGACTGGTTGGTGGTTGAGCCACCCCTCTGAAAAATATGAGTTCGTCAGCTGGGACTATGAAATTCCCATAATATATGGAAAAATAAACAATGTTCCAAACATTTCCAAACCACCAACCAGGTGATGTAAAGCTATTAGACCTTTTGATGTTCACTATCAACCAATCAGAAACGGATGCAAATTTCAGCAACGAAAATGGGGAGTGACTGAGGGTCGCTGCTGACGTGACCAATCAACTGCTTGGAGAATTTCTCGCCGCCAATCGACTCGGGGTGGATACTAAATTTGCTAAACTAATTTGTTTTCCCCCTGTTTGGAATCTTTATGTAACATGAAGAAGAATCGCAATCCAAAAAAAAGACGAACTGTGATTTCTATCAACCAGTACTGAATCGTACTGAAAAGAATCTACACAGTAATGCTAAGTTCTATCAACTACCATCCAAGATCAGAACCAACTGCAGGGCATGGCTTCGGGGCCTTCTCGAAGGGCTCTTCACCCATCTTTCGGATCAACCTGCCAGTTGTGCGTGGTAAACCGCGGCTCGCCGCTGATCCCGCTGCTGGTTTTTCCAGTTTCCTACTGGGGATCCCTGACTCCTCCTTCATGCGGGAACCTGGAGAGTGCGAGAAGGGGAACGAGGTGAGCTCACTTGAAACCAACATGTACATAAATCAGATAAAAAAAGGGCCAACGCCATCAAGTCAAGTAATATGGGAAAGTGCTTGATAGTTGTTGCAATGGCTGGGATGCACTGGTAGATAAATATGTATATATATATAATACATATGTGGCAAATATATTTTACCTAAAATTGTTGGCTCAGTGCCTATTTGTTGCTGGTTAAAGCCCTTTTTCCAGGTGAATCTCCAATTTTTCGCAGGTGAACATTACAATATTGATATCATCCCATTTGACTACATCCACTTGCAGCTCAAAATCAACCCATCCACCCACCTTTGACCAGTCAATCTACCCATTCAGATTGTGGGAATCACGTGACAAACTTTTCCCCCGAAAATTCTAGGCCCATATGTCCGGGCAAAATTCCTGAGGTCACCTCAGAAATCTCATGCTTGGTGGTAAAACCTATGGCCCATATGGCAGCCCCCTTCATCGCCGCTCGGTTTCCGACGGAGCTCGGTGATGGGAATCGCCAGGGTGCCTCTGGAAGCCTGGAAAAATACATCGCACAGAAATACACATAGTTCATTTCATATTATGGTTGCATATGTGTATATAGTTGCAGATAACTTTACATTTATACATCTAACATGGTTACATATTCATACTATAATAATAATGATCATCATAATCATAATAATGATAATAAATATATATATATCAATATATATATATATAATTATATATATACACAATACATATATATATATATATTATACATATGATGCCCAGGATTCACTGATCAACATGGCCCTGAAAAAATTCTTCTGGCCTCCGGCGCAGACACGGGACTTCGATCCAGGCTTCCGGTGCGGCGCCTGGAAGCCGCGCTGTCAGGAGGATGGTGCTCCTCTCGAAATCCATGGTGATTCAATGGTGATTTAATGGGATTTAATGGGATATATGATGGTATACCCTCTGGCAATTTAACAAAAAGCTATGGAAAATGGCCATTTAAAAATGATTTTTCCCATGAAAAATGGTGATGTTCAATAGTTATGTTAGTTGATGTTCAATAGTTATGTTAGTTTACCAGAGGGTAAGAAGCGAAGAAGATGTGAATTCACGGATACTAAGCTGAAAATTCTGAAAATATATCCATGAGGCAACAAAAATAAGACGAGTGATGATTTACCCCACAAAAATGATGAGTGAACCCCATTTGATCAAGCAAAAATTGTTGTCACTAGATTCACTAAAACGCTGACGAAAGGAATCCTGTAATTGCTTGCTGAATCCCATCTGGAGATGTTCATTTCTGAATCCCATCTGGAGATGTTCATTTGGTCCAGTGATGTCTAGCAAAGCCAATGGCAAACCCCTGATGTCTTTAAGGTTTATCAAATCCCAAAATGGATCCAAAATGGTGGGCAACCACTGAGCATCCCCGGCGGCTGCATGGTGGGCGACGGCGCCGGCGACGCCGCCGCGCTGCGCGCGGCCTCGCTTTGCGCCGCACGCTCCGCCGCACCCGCCGCACGGTCGGCCAGCAGCTGACCGTAGTTGCTCATGACGCGCGACACGTCCTCCTCCTCCCGCACCATCGACAAGGCTCCTGGGACCAGACAACGGGCACCCGAAAGGGACTGGGCAGTTGCAGAAAGCATGATGATCTTGTCCAATATAAGGGAAGATGATGGTGGCTGAGATAATCTACCATTGCCAAGTTTGTCATTGTGAGATGAAGAGAAAGCTGCTTCTTGGCACCTGCTCCCGGCTTCATGTACACCTGGAGCGTTGGGAGAGAATGTGGGGATTGCCGAAAAATGAGGGGCTCCGACTCTGGGAATGTTTTTGTGGGGTTCAACAGCTTGGTTTTTTTGGGCGAGCTTCCTTTAAAATTGCCTCGCAGCACTGATAGGAATTGATGGTTTAGGAACGTCTAAAAATGACCAGTGGTCTATTGAAAATGGTGATTTATAGTGGATTTTCCCATTAAAAATGGTGATTTTCAATAGCAAAGATGACCTCAAAGTCTGTGGCTTTAAGCCCTATTCTTGTTGGTCAGAGAGGTCGGCTCCAGATCTTCCAGTCTCTATCAAAACGGGCCGCCTTCAAAATGGGATCCTCCAAGTAGCACGGATCAAGAAACACCTTTTTTCGTAGCCGATTAATCCAAGTAATATCAATAGCTGATTAATCCAATAAAAATAAATATCAATCATTTAAGTGTCACTATATGTGAAGGGTTGTTTCTTCCGATTGATTCACTGTCGCTTCATCCTCCGTCAATCACACATCGAAATTACCAACGAATTATCTATCAGTTCTCACTAACATACATTAATAATTATACATTAATGATGATATATGTTTGATTCTGGGCTTCCATACATATGCACAAAAATTGCATAAATTTACCCATTAATTACCCGTTGATATGTCCCTCCCGAAATCAAACAGGTCAACAGGTCACTGGAAAATCCACCATTTATATATATATATATTAGACATTTGTAAATGATATTTATATAGATGTTTGTCCAATCAAAACCTCCGTTTCCATCATTTCTGAGGGGTGAAACCATGTCGTCTGTCCCATGTTTTTGTTACGGCTACGACCAGGCGCCTCCTCAATGTCTGAGGTCACAGTCTCCTCGTCTTCCGTGTATTGATCAAAGTCGTCCTAACGACGCCCTTTTTTTCTGGGGGAAAGCCGCGGTGGATGGCTAGAACTGGCTGGAACCCTTGAGAAACCTTGAATTGAAAATGAGATGCTTGTGGTATGTTGTGGTTAACCAAACATGTTCAGATTGTTCAGTGATTGTGGCAATTCCCTCAGGTTGCTTGATTAAACCCACTTAAGTGATTGATAGCGATTTGTAGTGGTTAACCAAACCGAATTCAGTGGTTGAAACCCGCCATGGGTTAAGCCCGCACCGGCTTAATGGTGAAACTGCCACTTTGAGAAATCAATTAAAGGATTGGGACACAACACTTCCATGACTGGTCTTGGAGTCTCACTTCACCCAAACTTTAAAATAGCTAGGTCCTCCGTAAAACTCCAATTTTATGAGTGATTAAAAAGCCATCAAGAATTTCATTGGTGAATCCCCCAGAGCCAGAGCCACCAGGGTCACCTTTTGCCCACGAAAATCATGGTGAGTGAATTCTTACCGCACGAAATCATCGAATCTCCTCGTATTCTTCGGAGTCGCTCTCTTCAATCTCCTCCACTGGTGCATCGAAGTCCTGAATCGATAAAATCAACATGGCTGGGAGATCCCAAAATTAATCAATGGCCATGTCAGGAACCTAAATTGGAGGTACCTACCAGATATAAGGCCTATATAAGGCCTATGTAAGGGAACATCCCAGGAAAAGTATGGAGGTTTTGTTTGCAACATCATCGAACTGCTGGATTTTAACCACCTTCGACAAGCGGAGGTGCTTGGGAAAAAAAAAATCAGGATGTCCTCAAGTTGATATAATGGCCTTCAACCTGTCAATGGAATCAATCGTTGAAGCAATTTCCGCCTCATTGCTGCATGGATTGTCAGCATCAAACTCCGACCACAGGTGACCGCAGGTGACCACAGGGACTATACCTGAAAATATGCCGTGGCTTCCTCGCCAGATCAAATGAACCAAGGGTGTGTTTCTAAATGATCATAAATGTCAGGTGGTACTGTCACCATCTGTCACCTATGTCAAGGATCTTTTTTATGAATGTCAATTATATAAACGAGTTTGACCTTTATGGCTTGCAGCGAACCATCAAATCACAATCCCAACATCACATCCGCCGACCTCTAGGCGATCATCATCGTGTGACTGAGCGGTGGTTTTGATGTGGTAAACCCAATGGTAAACACACCATTTGTGTGTGTAAAAAACACCACCCATCTATGTAAATAGGAGGAAATATCTATTGTTGAGCTTACCACTTAAATAATCTTGAATATAGATTAATAAAATCTGTCGCACTCCATCCCTTTCGCAAGAATACCACACTGAAGCAAAGTGATTTCTCTTCTGCAGATCATGATTTAGGGATGATATAAGTGTGATATAATAAATTGAAGAAATGGGAATTAATGGATACAACCAACAATGTGATATGTATCTTCGATTTCATATAAGCTCTCTTAAAATGTTGGGACAGTCCAATGCCACCCCCTCCAGCTGAGGCTTCCCACAGGACTCGAAGCCATGTGAGAGCTAAATCCACCTGCGATGCCAAAGGGGAAAATCGCAGGGATGTAACCAAGGAGATAAAAACAATTTCGCTGGAACTAGCTAAAAAAGATTACAAACTTCATGGGATGTTTCTTAAGTCATGGGAGCATCCCCAAGACACCATGGTTGTTTCAATACTAATAGATGATCTAATGAATGGATGATTTGTGGGTAGCTGCATTTTAGGAAACCATCATACACGAGTTGCTCTAATTTGTCATTTCAGGGAGTGACTCCAAGATTGTCTATGTATGCCCTTTTGAGTCACAACCGCAAACGGACTATCAACATGGCTTCAAAACCCTGGGATGGAACTGCGGTATTCAAAATGACAATGACTTTAAACACCCCCTTTTCCCCACCCAAGTGGGGCTTCATATTGGAAGTAAATCCCTGAGTCACAAAGCCGCAGGGCGTTTGCCATTGGTGATTACCCATCCTATGCGTTCCTGTACTCAGTACATACCCGTTTCTACCCATGACATCCCCATGAAACTGTTTGTTGATAGTTGATACACTCGGATATATGGTGACACAGCTCATCCCCATCTCTATCCGCACGGCCAAAGCCTTGAGTGACCGATGGCAGATGGGTGGCCTCGGGTGAGACAGTCACTGGGATCCCCCGTTTGTATATCTCAATGTCTTCAAGAATTCCATTGAACATCAAAAGTCACCCACAACCTGGGCGCCCGTTTTTCACCATGGTTTTGAGTTTTGGGGCTAGATCCCAAGAGGCTCCCAGTTGGTAATCTATGGTAAAATATGGTGGCGAAATCTGGGACATCCCAAACCGGGCTGCCCAGCGGACGCAGGGCCCATGCGACCAGCCAGAGTTGTCCTGAATCTTCACCAGCAATGAACATATTTTGACCCGGACTTAAGGTATGACAGGTATGAGTTGTTAAGGCTGTTAAACCCTCGAAAACCATGGGAAAATCATAGGAAAACCATGGGAAAATGGTGATTTAATGGACTGTTAAGGTATTCTGAGTCGGAGTCAAGTTGCTTCCAGTCAGTTTGGGACTGCTCTGGGGGCCCGTCAGTTTCGCTTTTTTAATCCCCTTCAAGCTCAGTAGAACCACGGCCACACCCCCAAGGCTTTGGCTGGAATTCAGCTTCCCTCATCTGTCTGGCAACCTCGGCATCAGGAAGTCGGCTGATGACATCAGTGAAAAAAAAAATGGCTGGAAAGGTCGTGGCCCCGGGCCGTTTTGTTGTGCATGGATTCTTTGGCCGCTGCTTTGTGACGTTCTGCCTCCAGGTCTCAACATGCACTTCATCACCTTTGGATGATAACTTACATTGGTTTTCATACCAAACTATCATGAATTTTCAGATATGTAGACATTATATTATTACATATACTGTCATATACTGTGTATATATATATATATATATTAGGTATTTGATTTTGATGAGATATTCTATTTTTCTATTAGTACATAGATAATATATACACAGTATATGGAATATATACTTGAATATCTAGTAGTACCAGATATCTACATATTCTACAACTTCAGGACTCACCGGGCCTCGCGGTCCGCCGCCTCCCGCTTCCGCCGTGCCGCCGCCTCTTTGGGCGTCTCCACGGCGCGGCCTCGGTTTTCACCCCGCACGGAAGGCCTGGAAGGCCATCCACAAGGGAGGAATTAGATGTAACTAACGGGTTTCACCATGAAAAATGAACAAAAACGGAGGATTCAGCATGAAACATATGGAGGAAATTTAGATGTAAGAAAAGTGATAAGCGGAGGTTTATATAACCAACAATTCAATGGGCATTTCATGGGGATATCATTGCGATATGGAATTCAACTGGTCTAATTGGGGATCATCGTGTCAGTCGTGACTGAACAGCAAATATTAGGAACATTAATTGGGATGGATAAATAATGATAAATGTACAACCAACATCAAGCAACATCAACCAACAATATGGATCTTTTGGTTGTGTCCATGTTAATGGGAACAGGAATTCAACAGGAATTCTACTCCATGGGATTTCGTGGCGCCCTATTTTCAGACAAACCCATATCATTACAGTATATCATGATGATATCGTGGTGTTTACAGTATATCATGATGATATTGTGGTGTAGGCCATAGATATTGCATGATATTGCTAGTAGATGGCTCATCATGGCTCCAGTTGACGAACATGGTCATATATTATCATATATCATTAGATAAAATGAGAAATGATGGTGAGAAACCCATTTACTGACCATGGATTCTTCAACTTGCAGCATCATCAAATGTAAGCCCCACGCTGTGCCGCACGTGTTTGTGACCTGGCAGGCTGACAGTCAGCACAAGACCATCCACCACAACCATTAAAGGATCAGGCCTTGACTTGGTTGCTGGTATCCACTAGATAATATGATAAAATAGTAATATCAAACTGATTGTAGAATCCACCCAAAAATGTTGACCAACCATACCAAATCTGCAAAATCTACAACAAACCCATCTCAAGATCCAAGGCCCTTAACCCCAAGTCTCGCTTTCCCCGCCTGGCCGCACATGGTGCGTTTCCACCGGCAGTTGGTTCACCCAGGGCGTCCCATTCATCGACCCCCCGGTGCTGCGCGGCGGTCCAGGTGACACCGGGGACCCCGCGGGTGCCGGGGGCGGCCCTGGTGTGGACGCTGGGGAGCTGACCGCGGGCGGCGAAACCGGCGACCCGCTGGCGGGCGAGGGGCGCGAGCTGCGGGCCGCGCTTTGGCCTCGCGAAAAGTGCGGGATCATTCCAGTGGTTGGAGATCAGGGAGTTGGGATGCCCCGAGATTTTTGGGATCACCTAGATTCTGCCCAAAGTAGGTCGGAAATGTGCTTGGGGGAAAAATGATGGGATCTGAGGCCATGAAGCGAGTGAAAGTGGGCAAAATGCCACTTGAATGATGGTAAGATCAGCCACAATGTGTATATATATAATATTACTATAATATTATATAGCACTATAAATAATGTTATAAATAATGTTATAAATAATATTGTAATTGATATTATAAATAATATTACAAATAATGTTATAAATAATATTTAAAAAAAATGTATACAAACGTTATAAATAATAATTAATATAAATAATATTATAAATAATATTATAAATAATATTATAAATAATATTATAAATAATATTATAAATAATATTATAAATAATATTATAAATAATATTATAAATAATAATTAATATCAATAATATTTATTATAGATAATATTATAAATAATAATTAATATAAATAATATTATATAATATTATGTATTTATATATATATATTATATTATATATCATATATATTAAAATATTTACGATGCTGATCTTTAGGGTCATAGAATGCAGTGATTTGAAGAGTTTTGAAGTCCATTTGCTGAACAAGTTCCAACTGCATCATTACAGTGACTAAAAAACCCGCCAGCAGGACGACTCTGCAAGTACTCATCCAAGAAGGACTGCGGCGGCTCGGTTGATGCAATGCCATAGAATTCTGAAACAGCTGTCGAAATGAAAGACTGTTGAGCGCGAGTGGACCCTTGACCATATGGGGTATGGAATAAAGGTGCTATCCCACGTCAAAATGTTATTGGTTGTCTGCCGAGAATCACCATTCTTATAGATACTGACACTTAAACGCTTGACTCATAGCCATTGTCCGCCGGCCGACCTGCACATAAGGGTCATCAATCAGTTCTTTGACGCTCGGCCGCGGTTTGTCTTTCTTCTCCAGCATTCGCCTTAGTGGAAAAGACCCGGCTTAGTCCAGTCCTGTCCCATCCTGTCCCTCTGGAGGACTTATGGAAAAGCTTGCAAGGTGTTTGCTGCATCTTTGGTCGCACACTTGCACAATAGTATTTTGCTGGCTCATTAATGCTGAAAAAATGCGGAGCTTTCTTGGAGGATCTAGAAATTCGAGTTCGACGACCCAACAGTCCCCAGTGAAAAGTACTATATATCCTCCAGTTCAACATATTACTATTTAGATCATTTAGATCCATTTATATGTATATCCCCAAAAGTACTATGATCTAACATCTAACTAGTCATTTTGAATCCTTGAAGTGTCAACCGCCAACATCCGGATTTCATCCAAAGAAATGGAAGGTGGATGCAACTGATGAAAATGAGAATACCACATGATACAACATCATGCCACTGAAAGTGCGTACAACTCGGGGCTTAGCGGCTTACCTCCCAGCTGTTTAACGTGGCACTGGTCGCATGAATTTGTTTTCCAAGTCGCTGAATCAGGGTGTTTAACTGCGCGGTGTATTGCTCCGGAATTGGCCTCAAGGAATGCCAGTTGTGTAGAAAGTCTAGCAGGATTTGGGACCAAACAGCTTGGGTTTATGGATGTTCATCCCATTTAATACATGACTCTGCTTTGGTGGGATGAACATCCAAAAATCCCGGCTATTTTGGGTGACAGAAAGGTACCAACGGTACCAAGGTTTTTAACTTTCTTGGAAGAAGCACAGCATTTGGGGCACCGGCTCATACTTATCGCTGACGATCTTGTAGACGAGCCTGGCAACGCAACAGCTTGCGGTACCAACAGCGTCACCAAAAATGTCAATAATCATAATTGATCATAGCAAGTCTGCTGAAAAGTCGCATGGATTTTTTTTGGAACGGCTATGAACGGCTGCGTCGTTTCCAATTTCCATGTTCCATTTGTTCCCACGGTGGGTGAAACTCTTGGGGCCACCGGCCACGCCACAGGCCACCCAGGCCACCGGACCCCAGAAGGTTGTCGGCCGAGAAGGCGTGTTTCAGCATGCACATCTCGTACAAGCAACACCCAAGGGACCAGACCTCGGGATCTCGTGATGTTTTCTGATGTTTTCTGATTATCGTCATGGTATAACACGGTATAACTGACCTTGAAATGATGACTTCGTGCACTTCTGGTTTCATAACCCCAAATTTGGGGCCAACTGATGAATTCATTGTTGGATGTACGAAACTCGAAACATCCAAGTAATTGATGTCCTTAAATGGGATTGTGGAATACTGCAATAGGTTTGGGCCAGCGACTTTGTATACGGGACGCACCGTCATCTACCTCTCTGTCCCTCTGTAGCCATGCCAAGCCATGGGAAAAGGACATTGATCGCAGGTTTCATCCACTGGATCCCCCGACGTCGCTCTTGAAGGTGTAGGGTTTATTCTCACAAACCTCCGGTGACATGTAGTACCTGGCTGCAAATCTTCCCAAAAATGAAGTTTCTGAATGTTTCTAAGTTTGAATCCAAGGACAACGTGAAAGTTGTACCAAAGTTTGCCAAATCCAATATTTTCAGACAAAAATTTAGCGGGTTTGGAATGACTTGGATTTGAGGGGTCCCAAAAATTGAAAACACTCTCAGGCTGTGAGATGCAATCACAAACAATGAAACCATTGTCCAATTGTTTGTTGGGGTTTTCCAAAGTCGTAGGACATCATCCAAAATCATAAAAAACTACCAAAACTTAACGTTTGCCAGGAGGAACCCATGGTCTTCGTCCACTCATCATTTTCCATGGCAAAAGCCATGGTTTTGGGGCACTAACCATGCGGTTCTGCACCCCAACCCCCCCTCCGGGGCACGGAGTCCCGACGACGGTGATTGCTGCCTGCGGGCGCGAGTGCTTCATATCTTTCAAAAAAACCCGCCAATGCTGGCGGAGTTTGGACTAATTTGCACCCAATCCGCGCGCACCGAAGGTGCCAAGGCGTGGTAGTTTAGCAGCGAGGGATGCGAATACGAACAAATCTGTTCCACTGGTACAGTTTCAGCTAAGGGGAATTTTCGAACAGAGCAGGCCGCCAAAAAATGCACGGCACGGGTCTGTGGTAATTTGATGTAATTTGCACATTTTGCATATCGGCCCAGCATCGTCCAAAGTCGCCGTTTCGATCCGACTTGGCTGTAACATCTCCACTTGGGGTCAACAAGGCCCCAACTCCGGCCCAACTTGGACCCAACTCGGGTCCAACATGCCGCAACTTGGCCCCAAGCCCCAAGCTGGACCCATTTGGGAGCAACTTCGGCCCAAGTTAAGCTCCACCTGGGCTCGACACGGGGCACGGCCGGCTCGATACGAAATTTCAAACACACGCTTTCATTGGTAGCTTCGATGTTTTTAGTGCCGATGACACGTCATGCTGGGTCCCAAGTTGCCCCATGTTGAACATGACCTGGACTCGCATGTGCATCACGTCGCTTCAATTTCCGGTTCATCTCAGTCGATTTGGGCCAAACTTCAGCCCAACATTACCAATTGGCTCCATCTTGGGCTCAAGTTGGGCCCAAGAAAACGAAAGCTGGGCCCCAGTTGGCCAAGTTGGGCCCTTTTTGGGGGCAGCCCCGGCCCAAGCTGATCCCAAAATGGATGCGCTGAAAACGTGCGTTTTTACGCGTGGCCATGTTCCCTGTGGGCCCGACTTCAGCGCCAGATACCCCCACACAGGGCCAACTTGTGCATGTTAAGCCCAACTTGCGTCCAAACGTGCCCAAGTTGCGCCATGTTGAACCCCAGTTGGGCTTAATTGTAGCCCAAGTTGGAGCCAACTGGCCCGAGTTCGGCGCAAGTTAGGCGCAAGTTGGGCCCAAGTTGGCTCGTGTTCGGCCCAACTTAGGCCAAGGGCGGCTAAGGTTGACCCCAGTCGGCTTTGGTTTGGCCAAGTAGGCCCGCTTCTTTCCTCTCTATCCTATTCCCGGGGCGCGGGTTTTTTGTCGTCGCGAAGCGACTCGAATTATAAACCATCCCCAAAATCCGCCCACACCGCTTTGGCGGTGAAGGCGTGCTTATTGGGGGGCAACAGCAACACTAAATGCTCAATGACATTTGTTAATATAGCAGTCGCTATATCAGCTTTAGCTGGGGGGGGCTAAAAACGGTTTCGCACCGAGACCAGAATACGGTGGTGTTTTCGACATTTTTCGAGGATTTTTGGGTGTCTGAGCGCAAGAGGGTATTGAAATGGAATTTTGGGTCATTTTGGTAGCTTTCCGGCAATGGAAAAACGGCCAAAAATGAAAAAAACATTGTACATAGCAAGATTTTGCAGGGTTTTTGGATGCCAGAGCATTGAAAACACTGCAAAAACAAGTGTTTTGGACTGACGTTATAGCAAAAAACGTGTAAATTACCGTATGCTTGACTGGAAACATTACAAAAACACTGTCAAAAGCAATGTTTTGGAAGGATTTACTGCCTTTATGGCAAAAAACGTGTAAATTACCGTCTGTTTGACTGGAAACATTGGAAAAACACTGTCAAAAACAATGTTTTGGAAGGATTTCTTATATATATGTTGGAGTTGGCTACCGGCATTGGCACATGGAAAAATTGAAGAAAACACTGTAAATAGCGGTATTTTCAACGGTTGGGGAGATAAGGGAATTGGAAGCATTGTCGAACATGATGTTTTCGACCGGTTTTATGGCGACAAAAGTGTAAAGTACCGTGCTTTGAAGGAAACCATTGCAAAAACATGGAAACACATTCAAAGAACACGGGATTTGGGGGACTATCTAGGCGTCGTTGTCTAGCTATTTGAAATTCCGCAGCTTGGAGAGCCTCCAAGGGAGGGAAAAGTGAAAATTCCATAGCTTGGGAAGCTGTCACGGCGGGGAAAAGTGAAAATTCCCTAGCTTGGGAAGCCCCCACGGGGGGGAAAAGTGAAAATTCCCTAGCTTGGGGAGCCCCCACGGGGGGGAAAAGTGAAAATTCCCTAGCTTGGGGAGCCCCCACGGGGGGGAAAAGTGAAAATTCCCTAGCTTGGGGAGCCCCCACGGGGGGGAAAAGTGAAAATTCCCTAGCTTGGGGAGCCCCCACGGGGGGGAAAAGTGAAAATTCCCTAGCTTGGGGAGCCCCCACGGGGGGGAAAGTGAAAATTCTTAGCTTGGGGAGCCCCCACGGGGGAAAACCACCCTTAGCCCCTCTCACGGACCGAAATAAACTTGCGGTGTGGGCGGCCACCCCACGCGAAGCGGGGTGAATATACCCTCTGGTTATTTAATGTTATTTATCTGGCTATATTTAACATAGCCATGGAAAGATCCACCCATTTTTAATAGGTAAACCATCTATAAATGAGCCATCTATACCATGGCTATGTTAAATAACCAGAGGGTAATATGAGCAAATTTATGGCTGCTGACCTCGATGGAACCTTCGAGCACGCGAGAGATGCCGAAATCGCCCAGCTTCACAACCTCAGACGAATACGATTGCCAAGTACTGATTAGCACATAGTAAATCCTAACAGAATCCTAATACGGTATATGCCATATTAGTATGTATATATATATAATTGATAAAATCTAAATAACATTAGAAACTATAGATTGTTGCAGAACCTAACGTTCGCCCAAGATGACATAAGATATTTCATATTTCCGACGGTTTTAACACATGTTTCATCCTCGGTACTAGGTGTGGCCTCTCGCCACGACTTCGACATGAAATTTGCAGACTTCCTGGGGGTCTGTGAAAAAGACAAACGGGCAAACGTCCGGTTCTGTGCGTAATTATATATAACATATGGGATACAAATCATATACAGATGTCATCAAGTAATATAAAGCCTGGTTCCTCAGAGATGCAGTTTCAGAACTCCGGTTTCAGGTCGCTATCTGACATGCTGATAAAGTGACACTAACTGGGACCTTGGCAAATTTGCTCTTCATCAGGAAAAGGTTGGAGGTTTTGAGGTCACGATGCAAGATGCGCTTGCTGTGGATGTACTGGAGCGCCTGCCGCAAAAAAAAAAACTTGCACCTACTCTTCAAATCTATTCGGTACGTTTCACTCGTTGGTCAAAAAAAGAACAGCTAAAGTTCTGGTGGTTTAAAATTCCTTTTCGGTTATGAACAGAAACAACAATATATCGTCCCATTCTTCAGAGTCAAAGTCCCAGACTGGAATGCTGATCAACTATTCTTACGACAACTAATGATCAAGATTGATATCGAGGCTACACGTAATATATTGCAATTAATGATCAATATGAAACAATATGTTTTACATATATATATATACACATTTTATAATATCCCCGGATGATGCTTTTCCCAGGCCTGTAAGATCTGCACAAAGTAGTGCATGATCTGCTGTTCGTCGATCCGTTGCCGCTGCTTCCGCATATCCTGGCTGTTCTCATCTTCGCTGGCTGTGTTCGTGGGAAGATCACGGGGATGATCTTTGAGTCTGAAAACCGGATAGACATGGATATACCCACAATATTATGGGATATTATGAGATAAATTATGAGATATTGTTGGATAATTGGTTGGATAAATCCCTTAAATTATTGGTTGGATAATTTATGGCCATTTCAACACGGCATGAGCTTTTGAACCAAGGGATTTGGGAAAGAAATCGGTGGCGTTTTGGGTCAATGCCACTGGGACCAATTGCCCAAGTCATGACATGGATGTGGGGACCATAATGGAAGACCACTAATGGGACCACAGATGTTAGAATGTCTAGTTGAGTATTAACCATCCATAATTTTGGGGTACCTAATTTTGACCCATACCCACATGTCATGACCATCTTGCTGTTCGAAGCTGAGCCCCAAGAAAGCAGGGCCCTAGTAGGCCCCCTACCAGCAACTGAACATCGCTATCTGTAGTGAATTCATAGCTACCCGCAACCCCTAACATCCCTAGGAGCGTTCTGAAATGTTCAACTCAGTCATACATTTCACCAGGGTTGAAGGGGAAGGGACATAGCTGACATAAGTGTAACATAACTGTAATTTACTATAGCTATAGCCATTACATTTCCTCCTTTATCGCTGCAGCTACCCCTCCCTCCTTGATGTACGTGGCCAAATCGCCACCCTCGCAGTACTGCATGATGATCACCAGCGTGTCCTGGCCAAGATAACCCCCAACAAAAACTCAAAAACTGAGCATCAAGTTTGCCTAAAATAAAGTATCAAAAGTAACATATATATGATGTATTATATTATATATATATATATATATATTATGTATATATATATATACATGTTATGTATACTATATATATATATTATTATTATATTATTATTATATTATATATATTATATTATTATATTATATTATATTATATTATATTGTAATATATATATATATATCATATCATCATCATCCTTCCCCATAGATCCATTAAAAACATGTCGACTTTGCTCCCATGAAGAAGTTGTCCCTGTAGGACACGATGTTGGGATGGTCCAGGCCTCGCCAAAAGTTTCATCGAAATGGTAGACCTGTAGAAATATGCTAAGTTTCTATAGAAATATGCTATATTTGATTTCGAATTTGATGAAATATGCCAAAAATTGATCTAAAAATTTAATGTGTACACATTAGATCAAATTAGGTCATACATGTATAATCATGTATATCTATACATAAATATATGTAAACGTGTTGTTTATGTAAGACATCCCAAGTATTTGCCCCGTCAGGATCAAATTGGCTAAGCACCCCAACTTCTGAGGAGTGCAACTTCCTGGTATGCCGTCTCTTGCTCCTCAAGCGCTCTGCGATGCTCTGCGGCCCCAAAAATCAAACCGAGAAAATGCCTCGAAAAAATCGAGAAAAAAACAAAAAAAAAGACGTGCTAAAACCCTCAGTTTCCATATTAGAATAATCCCTTCTTCCTATTACTAAACTCCCCCAAATAAGAAAAATAGGATTGGTTTGGTACTTACGTTTTTTTTTGGTTGGTTACAATTGGATTCTTTGTTGTACTAATTGAGAATCAATAGGAGAACAGGATGGTGAAATCATGGGTTCAACCCCCATTATTAGGGTCCCATCTCACAAGTTTTATTCTTTGTTTTTATTATTAAGGTTTTCTTTGGAATATTAGGAGAAAGCTTCGAAATCCAGTTTTTGGCAATATATTAAATAGATTTAAAAAAGGGATTTATATAATCAAATTTGAAATCAAGTTGTTTATTTTTGTTATTAGGGTTTTAATTGGAATATTAGGGGAAAGCTTCGAAATCCAGTTTTTGGGTGTTATATAGATTTTAATAAGGGATTTTGTCAAATTTGAAATTGAGTTTTTTATTTTTATATGAAGGTTGTCATTGGAATATTAGGGGCACCCTCATACAAAATACCCCTTATAATAAAAATAGATCACCGTGTTTACCATTTGGGGAGGGGCGTTTTAGTAATAGGGAGAGAGGATTACTATTGCGGAGGTATACCTCATTTTCAGACACATCCACAACAAGAGCTCAAATCCCGCATCTCCGGCCTTGCTTGACAAGCAAGTGAGGTCAATCGTCTTTGCCTGTCACATCAGCACCAAGGGGCATCAAGGTTCATGCGAAAATCCCTTGAAATCCGAAGGAAAAAAATCCAGAGATGGGAATCTAGCTTGAAAACAGAAACAGACAGCATTTCATCAAACTCCTGGTGCATACCACTGGGCTGTCGGACGATGTAGTACTGATCATCAATCTCTGCGCGGACCAAATGAGCCTTTCAGGACCCACAGCCGTCACTGCCAGGCGGCAAAAATCATCAAATCGGGAGGGCTTTGAAGACACAAAAACCCAGAAAAAGTATGAAAAAGTAAGAGATGGAAACCCCAAAACACGTGCCATTGGCATGTGTTTTTTTCTTGTTTAGCCAGTAGGTGTTTAGTTTCTATAGGCCTCATAGCCCCTGAGACATGGGATGGCACCTGCGATCCCATGGGCTGGGACCCTGCATGCAGCATTGGTTAGCTGGGTATGACATCTTCCATTTCAGATTTCGCAAACCCCAGGTAACTACAATTCACATTCGCCGTACGGTAACTACGGTAACTACCCAGCCTGTGGTAGTTACCATTCTGCTTTAGATCCCATTGTGTTGGTCAATGTTGGTCAACATCCGGCCGAAAAAACCATCCGGTTTGATGATGTCTCCCCCAAAGTTCAACAGCCACGCCTTGCCATATTGACCCCGGCCGATAACCTGTTGCAAACAGGGTCATGGTTCATTTGGGATAGAAATCGTTTGAAATTGGAAAACAAACAAACGTCCAGTCTCCAGCTATAGATGATGTTCACATTAAAATCTCTATTTATAGAGGATATATAGAGGATTCTCTCATAAAGCTCCATTTTTTCACGGGAATTTTCCATCTTTCCACCAAGCAGTGGCTTGGAACTTGGCCTTCAGCTCCTCATAGCCCCAGTCTGGCAAGGTGGTCCCCTGCAGCAGTTTGTCCCTCTGAGGAACCAACATAAACCAACTGAAAAAAAATACCCGGCCTGGTAAACGTTTACATTTGTTATGGAAAGATCCACCATATTTTTTAAATGGGAAAACTCACTAAATTTCGACTGGGCCATTTTTTTTCAATAGCTATGTAACAGTTTACCATTACCAGAGGCTACGTTTTCTATGCCAAAGATGATCCAGGATGATCCAGACACTGAGGCCTTGGCTGAGGAAGTCATGCGATGGACTCGTCACCTGGATGGCGGTCAAAACCCGAGCTTGGTGATTCTTAGTGTCTTAGTGAAAACCTTAGTGAAAGCCATCCAACTCTTCTGAGATGCCTGTTTCGCAGCATGCCCATTCCAAGATCTTCAGTCATCTTTGTAAATGTTCCATAAATGTAACGGTCTACTCATTCTGATGTTGGCACGCCAGACTCGTCATAGACTGGCTGAGATTGTCAAATTGATGCCAGGAAAACAGCTGTAAAACATCCATGCCACATCCCACTGCCATCCTATCTGGCCATCTCTTTTTGCAGGTGAGAATAACAGGTGATTCCACACCATGCATACACAAGCATGCACAGCAAATATCTTACAATCTATAGGCAATTCCTGCCAGGAAAAAAGAATCTTTTTCAGTGGTTGATTCTCCAGATGACCAAAAAAAATTCATCATTATCGCCATATATCGCCATTGAAACGGGTCGCCTCACCCAACGGAGCCGCTGGATGGAGCCAGCCTCAGAAAGTTCGTTCAAGGGAAATCGTTGGGGGCACCAGGCCGGTGTTGATGTTGACTGGTTGACTGGTTGACTGGTTGATGATGATGATGATGATGATAAACTGATAAACTGGCTGTTTCAAATTGGTTGATGATGATGATGATGAAGTGCTTTTCAATCTTTACCGGGGAACAGCTGAAAGTTAGGCCACTGGCTCTACTTCTTGAGGAGTGATACTGCATCAACGACCGCTTGCTGGTGCATCCCAGCTTTCATGTCAATCCCGGATTAATTAAGGTTACCAATTAAGGTTGGTACTTCCCAATTAGTGATAGTCTTATACTTAAATGGTACCTCCCTAATTAAACAGCCTAGGAGTTGACATTACGTGTATAATATATATGTGTGTGTGTGGGTTATATGTATATGATATACAAAGATATATATATATTATATTATATATATCATGATATATAGTATGTATAATATATATATATATTACTATATTATATTATATTGTATTATATTATATTATATTGTATTATATTATATTATATTGTATATTATATATTATATATTATATTATTATATATTATATATATATTGTATATTATATATTATATATTAATTATTATATATTATATTATATATTATATATTATATATATATATATATTATTATGTGTATGTATATATATATATAGTGATAAGTTATAAGCATTTATAAACTACTTACCACCTGGGATGCACATCCAGGCAACCCATCCCGTTCAGCTCCAGACCCATCCGTCTCGTTGCCAGCTGCCATCAGCCATCGACCGACGGACCGACGTGCCCCGGGCGGTGGCTGTAGCAGAAACGTCGTGTGGTGCTTGAGCTCAGTGGGTGGGTCCTAGAAGTCCTCGGTGGATAATAGCCATGGTGAATGATATGTAAGTCATCCAACAATCGAGTTTTTCAAATTTGTTGTTCCACATGTTGTGGGAATTCCCAAAAAGAAACCAATAAAGTCACTAAGCGACAGATGAGTTGTGCTGTGGGTGCTGAGAAAGCTGCAGTGCCAAAACGAGGTCAACCAGTGGGTGATCACAGTGGGTGCACAACCCCAATTGTCAACATATTGTCAACATATTAATCAATGAGTTGATCATCTACTGGTTAGTGGGTTAATCAACATAATTGTCAGTGGGTTAATCATCTACTGCATGTTCTGAGTGAGGCTAAGGCTATGGTCGGGTGGTGCTCGCCATGGGCCGTGCTTCCAATCTGCCATTCAGAGGCCCTTCAGCTAAGAAAAAGCTCCCGAGCCAGAGGCAGACCGGCACCGCATTTATTTCGATGATGTTCCCATCAAACCTCCATTTTTAGAGGGTAAATTCATCTCCTTGACCCATGCTCGCTAGTTCCAAGAGTCTGTTTCCCAAGCTTGTCTGACAACTTGCTCCGCAAATTCCACTGGGATTTGCTGTTTCTAACAATGTCAGGTAAATATGTAAATCCAACGTTTTTGGAGCTGACATCGTTTTTGCTGCTCACATATCCAAACATATTCCAAGCTTATCACCATGTTCTTGTCTTATCCCCAGGTATCCGACATTTGTTCACCAATTTCCGGTGAAAAACATCTGCACCATCTTCTTCCTTGCTTGTGCTTCGTAGAAAAATGGTAGTGGGACATGTCATACAATTATGATTGATAATTATAACTAGTTATCAATGATCCTTATCAATGCTATTGTCATTAGTTACTAATTATAGTTATAACTGTTAATAACTATATATCACTAATAACTATTGATAAGTATCAATGATACTATCATTAATAACTATACTATCATGATACTTATATTACTTATAAATGATACTTATTATTGACACCATGGCCCCATCCCATCACCCTTGGCACCCGATTTCGCGGAGCCATGGTCTTCACCGACGAGAGTTGCCTCAAAAAAGAAACGTGTACGGCCTGGCCTGGTTATGGATGTAGCGCAGATATTTTTTTGAAATTCAATTTAATTCATAAACATATATATATGTATATATATATGTGTGTGTTATTGTTGCTATATATTGTTATTGTTATTATTGATATCATTATTAGTATCATTTTCGTCATTATCATTATTATTATCATATATATATTCTATTATATTGTAGTGTATTATATTATAGTATATCATAGTATAGTATATCATAGTATAGTATAGTATAGTATAGTATTAGTATAGTATTAGTATAGTATATATTATATTCCATTATGTTATGTTATCTTATGTTATATTATATTGTATTATATTGTATTGTAAGTATAGTATAGTATAGTATTAGTGTGTATATATATACATAATAGTTTCATAAATGTGTTCAAAGCATCATCGTAATAGGACTCGTCTTAAATGTCCGACCGCCGAAGCTGAGGATGTCCTGAGGCGGCAACTCCCGAGGAGCAACCTGCTTGCGGTGCTTGGGCCCCAGAATAGATGAATGTCTTGATACCCGGCCTGGTAAACAAACATACCTATTGAAAATGACCCAATCGAAATAGTGGATTTACCCATTAAAACTGGCGATTTCCACAGTTATGTAAACTTGTAAACGTTTACCAGAGGGTATGTCGAATGCACCACTATTTCAGTAAGATGTTGTCCTTTTCACTATCTTTTTAGGGCTATAGATACTATACATATGTATATATATATATATATCGATATTCTCACTTTGGCGTTTGGATCATCACCCGAATGTTGGCATGCAAAGAATTTCTTGGTTGATTTGGGTGATGTTGAATCATACTCGATCAGTTTAAGGATCATCATCTCACTGTTGGATCGGCTTTGGTCATGGAAACCAACGTTGAGTCGTTGAAACATGTTACAATGTTGAAACCATCCAACTAGCGGAGGCGCAACGACTTGACTATGGCTATGGGATGCCTATGGTGGAGATCCAGACCCAGCTTTGCCAATGAAACTGGCGCATTTTCTTCGATGATTTACCTGTCAAAAATGGTAATGGTCCATAGTTGTAGGGTAACCATCTTCTTGACCATTATCTAATCTATGATGGGATATGAGAGGAAATATCACCAACAAATTTGGGATCCAATTTATGGTTATATGTCACCCAATGTAACCAACATATAGCCATCAAACCATATACATATATACATATATATATACATATATATATATATAAACCCATGATGTTTGGACATTCAGACAGGTTCTGAGATCGCTGCTCTAGGTGGAGTTTGAAGACTCCTGAAGTGGATGGCTGTGGCTGAAAATGGGGTTTTTCCCACCATTATTTCCATCGAATACCAGGGATATCCAGGGATAATAAGGAGGCTATTTCAACCATCATATAATGATCCCTGGATTATTTACCCATAATTGATAGCCATCATATAATGATAATAGCTATTGGATGACTATGGCTATTATATGACATCAAGTTTCTGTGTTTCCCATAATTATTCAAGTACCGCCATGGCAGTTGACAGCCATTGATGACAGGGACCAGGCACCTTGAGTCGGGGGCAAGAACCGCCACACCCTCCATCTGAACTGCCTCGGGTGCAGAGACATCAGGGGCCAACGTTTCTCAAAGCAGAACTCCACTAAAATCAGTTTAAACTTATGAAAAAGCTCATCACAAATTTCAGGAAATGAAAAAAAGACTATCAGAAGCAAAAACAGTGTGGATAGTTTGGCTACCTAATTCTTCAGTATCAATCCTAGCCAATTTATAGATTGTCCATGGCCAAACTCATCCCTACACCTGAGCGATGGCTGAGCCGCCGACGGCATCCGCCTGAAGACGGTCGCATCCTATGATGGTCCTCGCAGATGGCGCCGAAGCGGAATGTTGGGAGGATGCTGGAAGCGGATGTGAAAAGATCTTTTCAAGGAATTTTACGGAATTTTGAGGAAATTTAAAATGATGAAGATCCAAAAATCCTCAAGAGCCCACTTCAAAATGATGAAGATCCAAAAATTATCAAAAAACACTTCAAAATGATGAAGATCCAAAAATCCTCAAAAGCCCACTTCAAAATGATAAAGATCCAAAAAATCTCAAAAACCCACTTCAAATGATGAAGATCCAAAAAACGTCAAAAACCCACTTCAAAATGACGAAGACCCAAAAATCCTCAAAAACCCACTTCAAAATGATGAAGATCCAAAAAATCTCAAAAACCCACTTCAAAATGATGAAGATCCAAAAATCATCAAAAACCCACTTCATGATGAAGATCCAAAAATTATCAAAAACCCACTTCAAAATGATGGAAATGATGGAAAATGGATGAAAATGGTGATCGGATGCTAAAAGCAAAGCAACAAAGTGAGAATAGTGAGATGGGCATCTGCCGCCAGGGATCATCTGCCTTGTGATGTTGTGACAGGAGCGTTCGTGGCAGAAGAGGTCAATGGCCTCTGACAGCACCTGATGGAAAAAAACAACTGGAACGCGGGATGGAACCTATCAATGGACCATTGGAGGTTTATAGCTGGGAAAAGCATCGAACTAAATGGTGGATCTTCAATTGCCACATTTTGCCAGAGGAACAGAAAAAACCGAAGGAACAGACCATTCCCATTCGTTACTAGACTCATAGCCCACCCGGCAGTGACGCTGCAGCATTTTCCGCATGTCTTCAGCGTGAAATCAGCGTGAGTCGCACTGGGCCCTTGGAGGCGCGCCCATCAGGGCTGATTCATTAGCGGCTGGGACATGTGCGTCATCTGAACCTCGTGCCATGGGATGGTTTCCCAGGAATGTCCTGGTCCTCCCCAAGTGGTTCCCCCCAGTAGACTTAGGGTCATTCCAGAGAGTGTAAAGCCGCTATGGGGGTACTTCCCTTGAGTATTTCCGCTTCCTTCTCCTTCCTCGGACACATGGTACTCAGTTCCAATAGTTTAATATGGATCATTGTGGATCTATAAGCATAGTTTTAGGGGCAATAATGGATTGCAACTTATGGGATTTGTCACTCCGAAAGTCCACCCCAACCCTGCCCAGCAACGTCTGCAGATTCCGCTTGCCCAAAAGGAAGGTTCAAGACATAGGCAGGCGTTGTGCCTGTGCCTTTGGTGAGCTTCGTCCAGAGGTCATGTCCCCACCAGAATCCAAGGGAAAGAAGGAGAAAGCCTGGGATCATCGCAACCAGACGCAGCATGCTTTGCTTCCACACGGCATCAAAGACAGAAGGAGCCTCTCTTCGCGCCACCTACCAGGTCAGTGCTCTCAGGCCAGGTCCCGACCTGCCTAAGAAAAATCTGCTATATCAGAATACGGGTCGATGGTCTGACCAACCTTTGGTCATCAAACCTTTCAATGGAAAATGATATCCTCTGCCAGGTTCACCTGGAGTTTGGTCATCCATTTGGGTATGGCTCAACATCCTTTACCCAAAAATTTAGACTGGATGGTTTAATACTGGTAATGACTAAGAATCCCCAGCCATTTGTAAGTTCTTATATATATATATATGTATACAGAAACACCCTTTTAATTCATGACTCTTCAGGGAGTAATGCTGCTTACTGTAAATCCCCATGGCGGAAGCTACACAGCCATTCATTCTGGCTTGAACGCAGACTTTGGCGCTTCGACTTCGGATGTTCCTCTTCTCTTTCATCAAATCTTTTCCCCTTGAACCACAGTGGGCTCCATGCTGCAATCAGATTCGAACGTCCATTGTTCTACCTTCTGGTGATGAAACCTGGTAATGGATAATCCCCCGTTTAAATCCAGATCTAAAAGATGACTTTCCCATCTAAATGCCCATCTGTATGGTTTGAAAACACCTGCCTTGTACAGCGCCACGATTTTGGAGGGCTGGCACTCAGTCAGTGGATCCTCCGGCATGGGCACTGCCAGCACGGTCTGCGCCAAGGCCTTCAAGGAATTCTCAGACCTACAGAGGCATGTTGGAAACTTGGGCCCTCCTGTTTAAAGTGGAATGTTGAGCTGTATAGTTTTGCAAGTTTCTACATGTTATACTGATGTACCCATATATTTTCCGAGTAAAATTGCCAGAAATTGGGTATCCCCTATTTCCAAGCAAAACCTTAAATGGCAGTTGTTAAAAATGACTGGCTGCATCAGTCTTGTCAACCAGCGATGCCAAGCCAAGGTTTTCATGTCAAACATCCCAAAAAATCGCACCTCTCTGGTTTAGGAATTGATGGACCTTATATGAAAAATGGAGCTTTTAGTGAGAAAATCTTCGAAGTCACTGTTGGATTTGAAAAATTGCCACCTTTGAAAAAACCAGATTTACCAGAGGCTACATTCCATCATATTCCATCTGTATCTGCACGACTTCACTACCCCACATCAAAGGGTGCCTACCATGCCATTCCTCTTCGTCCTCTTCGTCCTCTTCGTCCGCTTGGGGATCCTCCAGGAGACCCCCAGTGAAGTACCAGGAAATTGAAGCCATGGCCCAGTCGAGTTATGGTGAGTTTTCCCATGAAAAATGGTGATTTTCCAGTTCGTTATGTAAACGTTTACCAGAGGGTACAGTTCCCAAATCTTAGACTAACAAAAAACGTTCTTGTTGGTTGGACCGTTGGACTGAGCGTTTTTTCTTGGTTGAGCTATGTTAAAGTACAAATTGTCGCTCATTGTTGTTTTCGAAGTACTTACGATTCCCCGGATCATTGGATCATCATTTGTTCGACACTCAGATTGAAGACCAATACAGTGCCCTGCGCCAAAAAAACATCCCAAAAGGAATCTACAATTGCAATGGTTGGTTATACAGTTGTCTATGTATAATACATATATATAGTCGCTGTTGTTTCTTTTAACAGCCAGAAGCAACCATTAGGATTACAGGACGACTCACGCTACTCACGCTCATTTTGCAGGCCAAATGCCGAATTGATATCCCTTATCATCCCCTATGTATGAACATCATTGAACATCCATCCACATACATGCTTTGGTCATATTGTGAGTATGGTCAAACTTGGGCACTCTAAGAACGAGATTATCACTACATATCACTACTATACAAATGAACATAATTTGCAATCTCCTGGGACTTAACTTTTGATTTTGACTCAGACCCATATTGATATGATTTTTGGGCATCCATTGATCCGTTCGGGTTGTGTCATTTTTCGACCCTTCTGCTAATCTATGGTTTATCGCCGCCATCAACATCAACATCATCATCAACAACATCATCAACATCATCACCATCATCATCATCCAATTTGAAACGGCCAGTTTATCAGTTTCAGGCATCCCCCATACTATGTTTATGGGTCAAAATTAGGAAGATCAGTCCTCCACCTCAGCTTCCCCCGAGGGCTCAGGGTCGGCAGGGTCGGCAGGGTCGGCATCGGCCTCAATCTATCACTATCCCATACAGTCGTAGTCAATGTGGGTAAAACAATGATGAAGCACCCATGACTGGGAATGGTTTATACCAGCTATACAAATGGTGATGACTGGGGGATGGTTTATTCTTGTTTCACCATGTTTCACCCACATCACTGAAAATGACCTGCTTACCTGAGGGAAAGCAAACATTACAATCATTACAAGACTCTGAAAGCTTGATGTGCTGTTTATTTTGCAACTGCTACAGCATGGAAATGCCGCCCACCTCCTCAGCCGGCCCCTGGGCAGCACTGGGATCCACTTCATCTTCCGGACCGGCATCTTCAGCCTCCTCCGTTTCTGCATCCTTGGGTGAAAAAAAAGACTCAGTGGATTGTGATAGAATCTCCCCAGAAAGAAGCACCTGTCTCAGCCTATGTCGCTAGGTTTGCAGCGTTGATCTGCTGTCACTGGCCGCACATCACTCCATCCCATCAACTTCAGTCGCATCACCTCGACTGGCGCCGGCTCAGGGGCATCCACGGTCTCCACTTCCGATTCACCTGGAGATTTTGAGGCACCAAAAGCTCCAGAAATCTCAACTTGGCGACAAGAACTGCAATTATTTTACATATTTTACTTGCAAAACTGCAACATGTTGAAGTTTTCAAAGCCTTCCTCGTTTCACTTTGTCAATTCTGGAACCCCACCTGGATCCACACTATCTTCAGGACTGGCTTCAGCGACCTCGTCCTCCTCTGTGTCTGCATCCTGATTCCCCTGGCAGTTTTAGAGTCACCCCGCATCACGGCATTCCGAGAGTCGCAGCCCTTGAATGTAATCACAGAAGAGATCATAAAAGCCTCTAGTTGCAGAACACAAATCTGATGAGAATTTTGTTCGGTCGCCAAAAAAACTTGGAAGAAACTAGCAGCCCACGCAATCGAATTTTGGCTACAGAATCACAAATTGAGCGGCATCACGACCCTGGTAAATCTGGTAATTTTACATAGCTATATTGAAACCCTGGCCCATTGAGTTTCATGATTTTCCGCTTGAAACCTTTGTTTGTAGGGGATTTCCATTGCCATAATTATTAGTGTACCGGAGGGTATTGAATCTATGAAACCCACCCCGGTAGCACTATTCCAGGCCCCTGCTTCACCTCTGGTACCGGCTCCGCATCTTCCACAGCCTCCGGCTCACCTGAACCTGCTGATCTTGGGGAAACGAAAAGATGTTGGGGACGATTTTTTTGCTGGTGAAATGCTCAAATATTGAGGACAATGCTGGTGACTTCCCCTGTGAGACCCTAAATCTTGAAGTGTTTTCAAAAAAAAGAAATGATTTCACTGTCATCTCAAATATGGAAGCCTGGATCTGCATCATCTTCTGGACTTGCGGCTTCAGCAACCTCCTCTGTTTCTGCATCCTGGTGTCTCGGGAATGAAAAGTGGCAGTACCTACGAGGTGCTGCCCCCCAGTTTTTTCTATTGGTTTATAACCCACATTGACTAGCTTGATATGTCTACCCTAAACCCAACAGCGAGTTATGTATATATATATATATACAAACGTAGTGAACATAAATATCATAAACCAACATACCCCTTTAAATTCGGTCCATGACCCGGGTGTCTGGATTCTTTAGTGGGACGCCCTGTGGCACAAGGCAAGATCTCTAAAATAGGAACCCTTAGCTGCAGGCACATGGAAGAGTGCCTAAAGAATCAGAAGCAGCTGCCACCAAAATTTATGAAGCCTAAAGAATCAGGACCAGGAACACACCTCAACATAGCCAAACAATTGCCTACCACATTTTAATCTCTGTATTTTGCTATGCCCGGCAAAACGATAAACGGAGTTATTGTATGAATCTACATAAAAAGTTGCTCCTCTTATCATGTCCAGTGTTGGTTTTGTTGCGCTTTTTGAGCCATGTTTTGCAAACTCAATTTAGGGTTCCAACATGGCCAAATATGCTTCCAAAACAAAGTTCTCTAAAGAATCAGGACCCGGGGGCCTTTATAGAGAACATGAATCCATGCAAATGAAGAACAGAAAATCTCTAAAGAATCAAGCAGAAACTGACAACCCGGGTTGTCTTCGAGGAAATTCCGGTAATGCTATAATCAACTATCGAATCCCCATGGCCGTCGTTTTGCAGAGGGCACCCCCGGCCCTCCTGGGACGCTTCAGGGGCATCCACTGGAGCACCTGAACGAGTGGAGGGGGTGACCCGGTGACCCGCGGGGCTGAAGGTGATTCAGACCCACGCAGTGGAAAGGTTAAATATGTTAGAACTCACTTTTTTTAATGGTGGTTAATGGTGGTTAATGGTGGTTAATAATGGTTCATAATGGTTCATAATGGTTAATAATGGCTGGTTGGTGGTATGCCTACCCCTCTGAAAAATCATGGAGTTCGTCAGTTGGGATTATATATTATTCCCAATTAATATGGAGAGTCATAAAATTCCATGGTTCCAAACCACCAACCAGTATAAGATGTTCTAACCCAATTCCAAGTGACTTGAAACATCTTGTCACCCCAGCGAAATCACTGGACTGACACCACTTATAGCTGGACTAACCCTACTTGCCCTACTCATAACAGGGGTTACAAAAGCGCTTATAACTTATAACCAACTTACTAACTGGGGCGAGCCAACAAGTAATCTCAAGTCGTCACGTGAAACTTGTTCAACCTTGCTTAAGAAGTCTCAGATTCCATGACAACTGTAATCAACAAGAATGAGTTCACCATGGTCCACCGAGACTTAAAAATGTTGACGTTTCCAAACATCTGACCTACTCAAAATGCTGTTTTTATATGATGTTAACCTCAAAATGGTGTTTTGTTTGCCCATCAAGAGAACCTGGATCCTCATCTTCGGAACCAGCGTCTTCAGGGACCTCCTCCAGCGTTTTTTTTTCGGCATGGGATGGACGGCAACCAACCACCGACACAGGCGGTAAAATGTCCGGTGAATATCGGTGAATCATGGTGTATACTGGTTATAAGTTGGTAGTCACCAACTGGGGTAGTGTTGGTAGTGTGTTTTTGATAGATGGTGACTCCCCAACTGGTAAACAGTTGGTGTCTCCAGATAATGGTGACAACTTGAACCAACTATCATGTCTAAGACCATCGACTGGTGGGTGGACTGGTGCAACCACAAGCTCCCAAAATTATGACTGACTAGGGATCTGCTGTGATTGGTCATATTACCATGTTTGTGGCTTCTGTAGTCAAAACTTGGACGTACCACGAAAAAAACACTTTGCTAGCTTCTGCTTGCAACATCTTACAACTGCATTTGTACACCTTGTTGCTAAAAAGTCCTCGTGTTTCAATTATGATATCCAATTTGTTCCTTGCATCGTTCCCTATTTCATCCTAGATACATCCAACGGTTGGACCTGTCCTCCGCCGCTCCCCCGGCCTCTTCAGTTTCCTTTCAGGATGGCATTATCGTGACCGCCCAAAACATGTTCGGAATACAAGTAAATAGGACATGGGTAGACAAAGGTCCCCCAAAACAGAAACCAGAGATCAATGCTTTTTGGGGTTCGATGCATCGACAGAGAAAAGGTGTGCAGGAAAGAGACGGCAAGAAAGATAGAGAGGGAGAGGGATAAAACAAAAAAAGAAAACCGGGCATGATATTGTCGGACGCCCCGATGCTTTGCCATGGTTTGTCACTGAGCTTTGTTCGAGAAGATCTGTGAGTTCTATGGAAACATCATATGACTTGGGTCCAAAATTTCGGTCACCAAACTGTAAAGACCCGATGGTTAGTACTCAGTACCTAAATGACCAACCCATCTGCGAGTCCCAAAGTATCCAACTGCAAGGCCAACCCCGGGTTTGATCAACTCTGATTGATCCACAAAGTCACTTCAATGGCCACCACTTTTCTCCAACCCTGCAAGTGAAGAAGCCATGCTTAATCGTACCATATGTTTTTGAACACTAACTTTCAAATCCTTCAAATATGTGGGTATGGATCAATACCTATTAATACCATTTTTAGTGGGATGAACATCCATTTACCAGCTATTTTGATGTGAACTACAGGGCTACAAGGTTTTGACACACTGCCATGTGTGCAAAAAAGTGCTTCATGGTTAAGGATCGTTGGGGTGTCCGACCTGTCCGACCTTCCCATGCACAACTTGACCCACCTCAGCCTCTGCTTCCTCGCCTTCAGCCTCTTCTGGCTCCTTTTCGTGGGTGCGGATACGACCCGCCCCGGGACAGGGATGCATCCGGGGGCAATGAATGTTGGTTATATTATATTGGGTTGTAAACATTGTATGTGTATATATATATATTATTATTATTATTGTTAATATTATTATTCTTATTATTATTCTTATTAATATTATTATTATACATATATGTATTATATTAGTATATATATATATAATATTATATCATATATAGTATAGTATATACTATATAATTAATATATTATATATTGTATATATATACCATATTATATATGTGCACAGTGTGTATATATAAATATGATTGTCGCAAATGATTTTGCTGCCGGCTGCCATCGTTCCGTGCAGTCTTCGTGCCACGCTTACCAAAGAATCCTTGTTTTTGCGTTGTCCAGAAATGGGTGGATGGGTTCCAAAACTTGCGAAATGACATCAGATCAATGGGAAAATGATGATGTACGATGATGATCGATGATCATCCTGCACCTGCAGAATTTGAGGTGCCCCATCTTCAAACCGTAACAATGACATGCGAGGGCCATGAAGCTGATGGACACCATGCTTCTCAACCACTGCCCATCTCACCATCGTCTGTAATGCCTTCCAAGAAAACATGGTAGATTAAAAAAAAACATCTTTGGGACCATTGAACGGGGGTGCTTAATATTAGGGGGATGGGATTACAAGATATTGTCAGTTCTAAGATGTTGGAAGTTGTACCCCTCAATGGCCTCATCTATCTCCTGCAGAGACCGCTCTTCCACCACATCCTGCAGCGCCATGAACAAACCTCCTTGAGTTCAGGGATTGATTTCCCAGCTATGTTTGAGGACACCGAAGGGTATCCAATTTTCTGCAATTGGGGGGTCCAGTCATATTATTAGTTCAATTATCTATCATTCCATGTATCCAGTAATTATCCATAAATCATTTAATCATCCAATTATCCAGTAATTTCCATTCTTCCAATTATCTTCAACGGCCATTTCAGGAACCTAAATTGGAGGTACCTAGCATATATAAGGCCTATATAAGGCCTATGTAAAAATAAATATCCTCACAAAATATGGCCTTATATGGTACAGTACCTCCATTTTAGGATCCTGAAATTACCATTGATATCTCCATTGTTCCAGTTGTCCAGCATCAATTATCCAATTTGGGTGTGTCTGAAAATTGCGCATCCCACCATTCATGGCCATCAAATACCCTCCCGTAAACGGTTATATTATATAGGTGCGCCAAAAAAAAAATGTGGCATTTTCCAAACAGGAAATCGTGGGTTTCCACATGTTTTGTATGTTTACCCTAGGGTCATTGGAAAAAATCCTATTTATGGATAACTTTCCCAGCTAGAAACCTCCATTTACAGTACAGTAGTTCATGGATTTTCCAGCTTGGCATGTTTGCCAGAGGGTATGTCATTAAATATCCATAAATATCCAATGAATCCTGATTAACCCATGTTTTTCCCAATATTAACCACTATCAACCATTATTAACCCGTGGTTATTCCATAATCCAACGTTGCCGTGGACGAAACAGACAAGGGTCCTGCTCCCCGCACTCCAGGTACATGGGAGGACACTCCTCCGGCAGATGGTCCACTCCTTCAAACCTGGGACGTTGCGGTCTATAAATGAATAATGTCAACCCCGGATTTTGCTAAACCATGGTTTATTAATTTGGGGGGTACTCCTCCAATAGTCATTTCATCTGATACTTAAATGGTATCCCCCCAATCTGATACAGCCCTTTGGGGGTTATTAATCCAGGGTTGACATTATACATACAGTATCTGGTTGGTGGTATACCTACCCCTCTGAAAAATGATGGACTCCGTCAGTTGGGATGTTCCAAACCACCAACCAAATACAGTATATTATATTTACATTATACGCAGTATACATTAATCTAAATATAAGAGAGATGTCTCCCATAGCATTACATATATTACATCCCAGCAGATTCCCCATGTCTCCACTCCCCATCCCCAGCAACTGCACGGTGTAGTCATCCCACACGGCGGGTGCCAGGCAGTCGATGGTCGTCTTGCGGTTGGTATCAAAGCCCAGTGGGTAGCAGATCTTCGGATCGCACTGATCGAACCACAGCTCCGCCGTGCCGCTGGCCCCAGACACACTTTGGAGAAAGGCCAAAGTGGTCATGAAGGCTAAGACCAAACAAAAACCTGAAGTCGTTGCTAAAAAAAATGGGTCAAGTTGATTCAAGTTGGAGATCCTCTGGTTTTTAATATCCTGGCTATGAAGACTCAGCCATTTAAATAGATGATTTGCCAATTGAAAATGATCGTGGTCCATAGCTATGTTAAATTATCAGAGGATAGATGATATCTGATATGTGGCATGGTGTATACCTTTCAAGCGCGGGTTGATAAATACTTTACAGCCTCAATGCAAACATGTGAATCCATCGGGTTCTCCAATCATTCCAGTCTTGGGGATAAAAACCAGGGAGAATGCAAGTCATTCCATCAATATGGAAAATTAGGATAGTTATGGCATGAGAAACCCCGTACATGAATGCATGATTCCACACATACATATCATCAGAGTCAACAAGTAGTTTTGCCAAATCATCCCAGTCATACTTGCCAATAAAAAACAAAGGCTTTACCCATCGTCACCAGGCTGCAATAGCAGGCATTGCAGCAGCAGTAGCAGCAGGCGCAACACTCTGAGTTGGCTTTAGAGCCCATCAGGCCGCAGGTGGCGAAGAGACATCCCGTCAGGAAGGACACCACTAAGACAGGCACCGCGGACAAAATCACCGCCTGTTGCAAGGAGTGGGAGGTGATTCAGTTGAGATGTCGTGTCTTTTCCATCTTAAAGTTAGGACGTGAGAAGTAAAAAAAATATTGAAGTTTATATGGTAGATCGGCCAAAATATGTATTGAATCCAGACAAAAGTATTGATTTCGGTGGAAACGGCATATGAGCAACAATAAGGATATGCGCAAGGATTTGGTAACGGAAATCCCCTCCATTTGCAGACTCTTACGAAAATGAAGCTTCTCTTTGCCATGCTTGGCCTTGATGATCAGAGGGTCAATCTGTTGAAAAGCTACACAAAACCATGATTGGTGAAACGTTACAAATCCGTCTATAGATCCTCCCAGCTCAAAACATCTGAGTCTGGGTTCCATCCCATGGTTGATCATCATTTTCCCCGGCGACAAATTGGAGGATCATGGTTAATCATAAATTGTCCCCTTTTGCACAAACTATTGTTGCTTTCTATGGTTTCTATCCCATGATTTATTTTTCCTGAATCACTGGGTGGTTTGTGAACAGCTGTTCACTTCCCAACAAACTTTCCGAATTCCATCCCCAGTATAATATAGCACCATCTGTATGGCTTTGATACCCATTTTTGGATGGGTTTGACCCAATGAATCCCCAAATTTCTTGGTTGATTCCCTAGTTCTGTCAGTCATATCCCCCCTCCCCATTATTATCCCCATAGTAACATCAATGATTTTGGTACCACCTCCATTTTTGTCGATTAAACCTCCATTTTCTCAAATTTTTCCTCATCAACATCCCATCACTGCCAGAAAATCCAGTCTCTTCCCGTAAATGTCCTGTCAATTCCCATAAATGTTCAATCAATTCGCATAAATGTCCAGTAAATTCCTATAAAATCCCATAAAATCCCATAAAATCCCATCAAATCCCATAGAATCCCATAGAATCCCATAGCTTTTCCCTCCGAAGACGTCGTAAATTTACGCACCGAGCCGCACTGGGCAAGGCGTCCACCAGCCAGGTGAGTTCCGGCACCGCCTGGACCTGTGCCAGGGAGCGGAGGTTCCGCTCCAGGATGCGCTCGTTGAGGAGGCCGCAGAGCACCTCAAAAAGATGGAGATTTTCACCATTTTTTTGTTACATTGATTTACATATAGGATGGGTTATCATCCTCAGTAAATTCGTCAAATTGATTTACATATGGCTATGGATCAATACCTATACAGCCTATACATACCATTTTTAGTGGGATGAACATCCATAAATCCCAGCTATTTTGATGTTCACCAGGGGTACAAGGTTTTGACCCATTCCCACATAGGATGGGTTATCATCCCCAGTAAATTCGTCAAATTGATGGGGGTTAGTAAAAACAAATTGCCCCATGTTATTCCATCAATGGTTGATGGTGGATCAATGTTATTCCCCAATGTTATTTAATGTCACTAGCTGATCAGAGCACCTGCTTGAGTGAAAAAATACCCCATGTTATTCTCTTATTCCATCAATGTTTTTTATGGTTGATCAATGGGTAATCCATGTTCCCTTGGTGAAAATTGAATAAATAAAATGGTTAATCAATGGCTAATCAATGGTCTAATAGCTCATCTAATGGTCAATGGTTAATCTAATGGGTTAATGATTGAGAATGATGGTTATAGTCGTATGACTAATCCAACGATTGAGAATTGCGATTGTCAATGGCTTATCAATGGCTTCTAAAAATGGTTGGGATGGTGTTTTTTGTTCTCATGGTTAATCCAATAATTAATCCATCTATACATATAAATATCTATTGGATGGCCTATTAATCCATTGGTTTACCACATGGAAAAAAACTGGCCAGCCAGGTGCCTTTGGGCACCTGGCTGGCATATCCTTTTTCTGGGTGGTTGGGGGATACGTTTCTATTAACCCTGGATGAATCTCATTTCTGTTAGGAGTTATATAAAGTTATATAGACATATCTTATTAACTATATATAGACATTTGTGTTAGGAGTTATATATCCATCTATATGTTAAGATTAATTAACTATATATCTTATCAATTTGTGTATATTTTTTACCTTGAAGATCCGACTTTTTATGGATCAGATATCACCTTTGGTCCACCATCATCCCCCTAGGGTCATGGGCCCATAGGCTCATAGCAAAACACCCAATTTTGCATCCAGAATTTTCGGCTCAAGAATTTTCAGCCATACAATTCCATACTCCATATACCATCATATACCATCCAGATCTATCCAGATCTACCTGTCCAAGTCTTCAAGTGCCTCTCTCCCCAATCCACCTGAATCAACGCCGAGGCGATGAAATAAATCGCGGTAGCAATGGCTACTCCGGTCACGCGGTCACGCAATTTCTTGTCCCCTCGCAAGGTGACTTTGGCCGGGATTGGAGGAGGGGATTGCTGTACTTTAGAGTTACATGGGATACATGGGTGTATCTGAACATGTGCGGAAAAAACAAAACTAAATGATCAGTTTTCCTATCAAAAATGCCATGTTAAGAGTATGCCAGCATGGTAAAACCCCATTTTCAAACAAACCCACATCCCAAGAGTGCAGTTGTGAAGCATCCGTCAAAAAGGAGGGAAAAATATGTGGATCAGCGCTCCCCGCAATTTCAGATACGCGACAACACTGATTCCAAATAGGATAAGTTTGGATTGCGAGATGTTGCGTGGGCGCATTGGATTATATAAATCATCATGTTGCAAGAACGATCAGGTGACAAAAACGAACACAAAAAAATGATCTTGGAAAAATGAACCGGAAGAAAAACACCTCACCCACCAATGGTTCCACTTTCACAAAATCACAGACAACCCCAGTCTTGGAACCTGTGAACTGTCCCTCGGTGGGTGCCAAGACGAACGGCTCCAGTGGCTGCGCTTCAGCACTGGACGAAGACGCCGCACCCGCAGGACCCGCAGGACCCGCAGGACCCGCAGGACCCGCAGGACGCAGCTCGCGCGCGGCCATGGTGGCGATCTCTGGCAGATATCTGGTGAGTTCGGTGGATTTGTTGGAGATCGGCCACATGGAAGAAACGGAACACTCCATAAAATGTGTGGTTCATGGGCTGCAATGAGTACTAGGTATCCCCTGTGGACCCACCAAAGTTGATGGCCTGGGTATCCATTTGGGGTATCCATTCGATTTTGGGGGTCAAGAGTTTTAAGCCATGGCTACACACGAATCGTGAAGCACAGAAACTTGGTCCAGCTATGTCCAGCTGTTCAGCTTTCCAAAATGTCCATCGGGTGAGCAGAAATGGCTGTGGGTTCGATCATATCCCATGTTCACATCCCCCAATCATATCCCATTATATAATATGGCATGAATATCCATTAATCTCCTTTAATATGATGCAATTTGCTGAAGATGGCCCCCAAAAGGATATCAGAATCTGATCACTTTTCCAAGTTTTTCCCATTTTTTCAGCTTTCCAGCCAGCCTCCACCCAGCTGGGACCCGGCACTTCTGAGTTGAAGCTGGTGAGATGGGAAACGTGACAGCTGAGCCTGGGGCAGGAAATGCCTGGTGAATCAAACATGATTTCTATCAGAAAAGCCTCCAATTTTGGGGGAAAATGTTGCACTCAAACTGCTGTTCATGTGCAAACCATCCATTTTTGGGCCACTGATTTGGAGCCATACAACCAATGGGGCTGTGAACTGAGTGCGTAGACTCAAGGGATCCGCTGATCACTGCTAGATATGGGCACTGCATTTTGCAGCCGATTTGAAAATGGCAGAGCATGACACAAGACACGACAAGATCAATCACTTGTATTCAAATATCCCACCACGGTCATAAATGAGATATCATCTAAAATGTACATAGAAAAAATCACATCTGTATCTAAATCGAACTCCTCCCACCACTGGTCACTGGAACCGTAACTTGATTTTGCAGCCCCGGCCGATGCCTCACCAACTGCTGCAACGAGGAGCCACAGGCCAAAAGCACCTGCTCGAGAATCTGGCAGCAACGATATGCCTCGCAGCCGAAAAACTGGGTCAGCGGTGATCTCTTGGGAGAGATCATGGTGTTCACCGGAAATTTCCAGTACTAAGCACTGCGACTCAAAGATTTTGAACATATTTACATGTAATATAATTATTATATAATCATATAGATATATTTAATTTATAATAATTTATATGTAAACAAGTAGATTTTCACAAAAACTATACGAATCAAAACTGTCTTAAATGATCCGCGTTGCCTGCGCAGCCAGTCCACCGGGTACCAGTGCAATGCCACCTACCTCGTCTTGGTAAACCAACATGGCTATGGATTTTTTTCGAAAATCGCCATCGTAAATCACGGTAAATCGACTGTTTCAATGGGCCATGTTCAATAGCTGTGTTAAATTCGCAGAGTGTGATGATTCTTTTTCCATTGAATTTGATGCCAAAGAATCTGGCTGATTGCTGAATTGTTTCCTACATAGAAACACCAAAACGAACGACCGACTTCCAGAAAATCCATGAGCCTCTGAGAATCCAAAAAGTCACTGCCTGGGGCTCCTACATTCAGCTGCTGACCCAATGCCTTGGTTTTCTCGCAGAAATTGGGCCTGAACCAGACCCACCTCCTTGATGATGGTGTGCTGAAAGCAAACAGAAACTCGGGTTCAACAACAAAAGTGGAATTCTTCGTAAATCAAGACCCATCCGAACCCACTAAAAAAGAGAATACTAGAAATGTGGCACATTTAATGTGCAACTTTTTTTGTGTAGAATTTTACTGTTCTATCCTTCTGTTGGTTTCTATACATGCCAGGTTGTCATATCTAACCAACGGAAATTGTAGCCCCAACTGATAGTTAGTTGAGACTTGGCCTTGTGACATGACATGGGTACAAGAAGGTGATTTTTTTTTTTTCGGCCACCCGAAATGATAGGACTCTTGGTCAAATTTTCTGATGCAGGATGCTCTCTGAACCAGGATATACCACCAGATTATACATTTCTTGATTGCTATCAACAGAGTTGTTGGTTGATTTTCATAGGAAAATCATCTATAGATCATTTCTAGATCATTTTCCCATATATTTTCCCCTAGATCTTCATAGGAAAATCATCTCTGGATGGGGGTTTCCCCACCATTTCGTTTGAGGCTTTTCGGACCGCACCCGGCGCCATCCTCGCACCACGGCACCGGCGCCAGGTGAATTTGTGAACCACTCAGCGAAGCGTGGCTGGCGCCCAAGCGTGGCAAGCCGGGCACCAGCAGATGCTCCACAGGACCCGCCTGGCGATGATCTCGACTGGGGAGGTTTCACCGAGCAACCAACGAAGATGGGAACATCATGGGATATTTTGAGATATAATGGGATATGTGTATATATATATATATATCCAACTTGATATGATCTTTGCGTTTTATCTGGAACTGGGGGTGTACGACTGGAGTTGTGGCAAAGTTTAAGAGGGTAAATCAGCTTTTCAACCATCAAATGTTGGGTTCATTTTCAGACAAACCCATTTGTTGATGTCATATATCTAGGTCAAACTATAAGATATCTTATAATTACTCTTAGACTGTCCCAAATTTTGCTGGTCAAGAATTCTGATCCAAAATGAAGAGATGAATGACCCCTACGATCTGAGATTAAGAAAGTGCCAGCAAACCGAGGTTCACCCAGCGAAAATTGATAAAAATGGTGAACGTATTGATGTGAACGTTATCAACCATAAACTTGGAACTTAGAATTATTTAGATGTATGTAGGTCCATTTTTTTGTGGGGATAATCATGGGTACAATCCAAGACCATCCCACAGAAAATCTCAGCCTTCTGTCTCACAACCTTCCAGTCTTCAGTCTCCTGCAAAACGGCCAGTTCTTTTTCTATGTCTGGCAGCTACAGTCTAGTTGGATCAGGTCCGTGACATATCCCTCTCACTTGATATATGTATATATATATAATCATACATTACATTACATCACATCACATCACATTACATACATATATGGTCACCCCCCCAGAAACCCCTACATATATATATAATACATCTATATATTTATAATAAATATATATATATACAGATATTGCAGATACAACATTAACAATAATCACTATGTGTATACATATGAATAAATATATAATGATACATATATATATATATATATTATTGTTATTATATATATATATATATACATACGCATGTACATGTATGTACATGTATTGTACATATACATGGATGTACGTATGCTCGATTGTTGGACCTACATGGTCAGTCTGGTCAGTGTCCACCTGATTCCTCTTTTTCGCCGCTTTTGCTCGCCTGGAAGTGATCAAACTCGGCTCGCAACTTCTCCAGCCCCTGCCGCTGGCTGCATCCCAAGGTGTCTGTTGAAATCATCCTACTTGGGGGTGCAGATCTATGCATGTTGGGGTATTAATTACTGGTTCCAAAGTCGCAATTAATTAAAATTGATAGTAGCAAGGGTTGTTAAAAGATAGAACCACAAAATTCTTACCCCATGATTTGGGATACGGAGCCCCCTGCACCCCCCAATAAACTAGGTAGATAGGCAGCCGGGAAAAAAAATGGCCCCAGTCTTGCGGGTCTTTGCAACATGCAGTGAAAAAGTGTTTGTTGAAGAGCAAGCACCGCACAGTTGACCTGCTTTACATGAAAAACAAGGCTTCCAGTGTGGTTTTGTGTGGTTTCAAAACAAGGCCAGGAACCAAATGCGACCACAGGATTTGGCCTTGGTTTATAGTATGTGGATGTAAACCAGTGGGAATCCGTGAAGATCAGATGAGGAAGCCTATTTGCCGGAGGATGCCTCCGGTGTGCATATCAGAGAATTCCCCGCGATTATAGAACTATCCCATTTGTTGATAATAGCTCTCCGGTGTTGACACGATCTGATAAGGTTCCTATAGTTTTCTTGGATTTTTCTTGGTAAAATCATGCAAAATCCCTAAGAATATTCCCCAACTTCTGCTCCCTCAAAACGGCAAGGAAGATCCACGCGTACCGACGCATGTCGAAGCGCCATGGCTGCGGGTACAGCCAATCGGTTACCGATTCAAACTCACAGGATCTGCGAAACAGGATCTGACCCTTTTTCGAGACCAGGAAAGGTAAGAATACAATGGGTTTATGATACAGGTATCTGATGGATACAGGAAATTAATTAATTAATTATGTGAAACATTGTGAAACGATGGGAATCAGACCCCATCGAATGAGTTTATCTCTGGCTCGGACAGTCGTCCAAACAATCCAGCAGCCATTTTCTCGAGCAAAATGCTGGATCAAGTCGTGGCATATCAACACACCATCTTCAGACTCGGCTTAGACACAACACCACGGTGCCGAAGACGTTGGCTCATTTGTTTCAACCATCAGGGATCCCATGATATTGCCGATGGATCAAATATCAACCCCAGGATCAAATATCAACTCTCAAACCATTGATAAAGCGCTTCGCAAAAAAGATGGTTCATTCAAAATCAATGTCCAAAAAAAACAACGGGATCCCCTTATGAATGACTTGGGGGTGTATGAATCGCACACTTGGAGGATCATCATCCTAACCCTCTGGTATTGTCTGGTATCAATAAGCCTGGTAGATAATCACTTCCCCAACTAGGGGTTTACCATGGTTTACCATGGTTAAACCATCTATAACTGGGTGGCAAGCCCAGGTGGCATTGCTGGGCTGATGCCATTGCTCCCCTCCGGACTCCGCATTTTGCTGCCAGGGCCACACCCAATAAATCTCCGTCTGCCAGGGGCTCGCTAGGGATCAGCACCGGAAGCTGGGCATCGTTCATCAAATGGCTACGATTTGGTATGTTTGTTTCATGAAAACAGAGGTCCAAATGGTAAATCAAAAGGTGAAATTCTTCATGATGTTTTGATATGATTTGATTGCTTTGGCAACTTCTCTTCACTGCCAGCGGTGCCTGTCATTCCATGTGCTGGTGCTCCAGTTTCACTTGGGAGTTCCAAGCAACTCTTATTGAATCAGTCTCTTTTTTTCCGCGGGCAGTTGCTCTAAGTTCTTCACTGCCGAAGTAACTTGAAGTGGCCAAACTCATAAAGCCAGCAGTCATAGCTTGGACCAGGTTCCAAGATTCCAAAGCAAGATTTATTTGAATCGTTAAGAGTTGGGTTCAAACAAAATCTAGTTCCTGGCCTTGAACTTTGCCCGTTCACTCCCGCCATTCATGGATCCTCAGATTTCCGACACGGGCACCGCCGAGGGCCGGCTCTGGTCGGAAAAGCCTTACCTCCAATTGCACTGACCTGTAATGTGCATATATATATATACATACATACATACATTACATTACATTACATTACATTACGTTACGTTACATTACGTTACGTTACATTACATTACATTACATTACGTTACCTTACATTACATTACATTACATTACATTACATTACATTACAATACATACATACATACATACATACATACATACATACATACATACATACATACATACATACATACATACATACATACATACATACATACATACATACATACATACATACATACATACATACATACATACATACATACATACAACATACATACAACATACATACATACATACATACATACATACATACATACATACATACATACATACATACATACATACATACATACATACATACATACATACATACATACATACATACATACATACATACATACATACATACATACATACATACATTACATACATACATACATACACACATACATACATACATACATACATACATACATACACTCCGGTAATCGTATCCTGGCAATGGAAAATCCATCAACTATCAAAGTTGAGGTTTTCCCACAGCCAAGTTGAATTACCGGAGGATGTACAAATATTGCATATTATAAATCATGGCTCCAGGTTGGTTTGTTCAGAAAGGCGCTGACAGTGCAATGATTTGTGACACAGGCACCAAGGGCAGGCGCTAACATTTCCCCAAGAACAGCTTTAAACTGAGGAATGGTACCCCATCCTATAGCTTCGCCATAGCCATCAAATTCATGTCAAGTGACTCACTATCCTATTAATGGGAATTTTCATATATATATATACATATATATATATATACATATATATATATACATACACATATGTATATAATGTGTGTTCCCACTAATATATATATATATATATATATACATATATATGTATATGCATATATATATATATATGTATATGCATATATATATATATAATTATATATAAACCTATGTTAATTCACCCATATTTTCCCAGTAATCACCGCCATCTCCATCGGTGTCCCCAAAAAAATGGACCATCCGCCAAGATTCACCCGGCGGAGCTTCGTAGCGTTGACCCGCCTGGTCTCCATCCTCGGGACATGATAGGAATCTGCCTGGAAATATGTCAAAAAAGTACAGTACATATCAATATGTACATATACTGTGCATATATATATATGATTCAATATGTACATGTGTATAATATATATATATATATATATATGTGTGTGGTAATGTTAGACCCGTTCAGTAAATTTTTACTTATTCACTTTAGATACCTTTTTGTTGATCTAACTGTCTGCCTGTCTGCCTGCATTTTATTCATGTATCTCTATTTACACGAACTCAGCAGTTGTTCAGGCAACACACAGCCTTCCTGAGGGACGCCAACCCATGCGCCCCATGAACGATGTCTGGTGTCGTGGTATTACATACATTGCTACTGAATAGCTGGATGATTAACAGAAAGTGATGGCGTGATTCTCATCTACCCTATATAGATCTAACTAACTTTGGTCTGTCCACTTGTCAACTGATTGTTTAAATTGATGGTTGGAATTAATCTTAATGACGGAAAAATGGTATCTAAAGAATTTGGAATGGAATCCGAACCCTCAGGCACCCAGCCTGCTCACCATTTAGCAAAAGATTCTGGTTTAAAAAAAAATAAACTCATAGTATGTCCTAGTCTCCGTATACTTTTGAATTCCCAAAGCAGATTGTTTCCCCAGTTCTTTCAACTTCTCACTTCCGCGCCTCCCACAGTCCCTCCAGGTCAGGGTTGTGGAACATGAAGGAATGCCAACAGGCCTCATCTGGTGCTCCAGTGAGTCATCGCTAAGGTAGTACCAGTAACTCCAATAACTAGGGCTTATGGCCAGAGATATCATGAGATATCTATGGTTGATGGATGTTGACTGGTTGGTGGTTGCTGCTAACCCCTCTGAGAAATGATGGAGTTCGTCAGTTGGGATGATGACATTCCCAATATATGGAAAAATAAAAAATGTTCCAAACCACCAAGCAGCTAGGGGCTTATGGCTAGAGATATCATGAGATATCTATGCTTGATGGGGGGTATAGTTTATATACCAGCTTACAACTGGCGGGTCACCAACGACCAACAGCAAGGTGGAGTTAGCGGCTACCTCGATTTGGGCCGAACAGGTTTTGTTTGTCGTGTCCTGTGCATATTCCTTCCATATTGGCTGAAAACGATTCATTCCACGGAACAGGAAACAAACCACCACAAGACACCAAACAATCTAAACGTCTAGGTTACTAGGTTTGTCCGGGCACCCTTTCCGCGCGTGAATCTATCGGTCAGAATTCGTGGAGCTTTCACGTTGCGCCAACACACGTTTAGCTTACGCGGACACAAAGGTCATCACGTTTGCTTTCGTGGAGTTTGTTGAAAACCAATGCCTGAAAGTTAGTCTAACATAGTCTAACATAGTCTAACATAGTCTAATTAGTAACTAGTTAATTTTCAGGTTCATACTCTGCGCTCCAGCCACCAACATATGACACGCCTGACATCCCTGACATCCTGGCATCCCTCTCCGTCAGAAAAACGGCGGGCAGGGAATGTGGCCCAGCTCAGCAATTTGGGTTTTCCAGGAACCTTCTTTAACAATTCGATGCGGATAACGTCCTTCCTTAGTATTTTCCTATTCCTCAGAAAACTTTTCTGCACCGAGCCGCGCTGGGTCTGCGCAAACGCGGATCCGCGGAGAGCGAAATCGCGCTAATGAGGGTTTTAAGCGAAAGGCGAAAGTAAGTTAGTGTTTAATAATGGTTAATAATGGTTAATAATGATGGTTAATACAGTTTCATGTTGATATTCACTCTCTTCATGGAGGTTTGCGAGGCTGCAAAAAGGCAGGTTTTCAATGGTTTTCATGTGCTCGAGGCGACTGAACCAATCCCCCATCATCCAGCACCTCGCAGTATACATCACCGTCTTCCCCTTCGATCATGTGTCTGACCTGACACCGTGCTGCGGTGGGTTTGGTTCGTTGGAACTACCCCAATGATCAGAAAAACAACAAAAAAGGGTGTGTTTTGATGTTGATTGGTGGTCTGTTACAGTTTCAATGGTCAAGTCATGCGTGCCCTTCGCTGCCAAAGACTTTTCACACAACTCTGCGATGCCCTCGTGGATAGGTACTCTATATAGTTCCAGTTAGGCTTGGGCGGGAAGCTACTGCGAAAGACTTCATCACCTTGGCCGAACATGTAAAGCTTCCTTGGCTTCTCGCTGCAGATCGTCACCGTTGAGACCAGGGACAGACAAACGGCCAAGACAAAGCTGAATGGAAATCCACAAGTTGCAGAAGCATACCAAGCGAACCATCCTCCTTGGAGATCTTGAGCCAATTGAAGATGCCTTTTAAAACTGCCTCTTCCCGAGACACGCCCAAATCCTCTCTTCTCAAGATTTGGGCCTGACTTGCACGAAGCTTCCGGAAGTCGGGATGCCGGCAAGACTCAAACTCGTAGGCAACCTTGTCTTCACATGCAGCTTTCAAATCATGAAGTCCTTGTGAGAATCTTCAATGCGGCACTGCTGTCCAAGGAATCACAGATGCCTCAATCACCAGGAAGGCCTCTTGAACCTTCCAGCGTTCATCCTTCAAATCGGCCAGAGGGTAGCCATCCTCCAGAAAAGCCAAGAACAGCTGAGATTGCGCCATCAGAGATGATCGATTGCAGGCGCACGTTTTCTGGCAAACCACTTGGCTGCGAAGAATCTTCACAGGTCCAAGTGCCAATGGATCCCAATGGGTCCTGGCTGCAAGTGGGGTAGACCTGGCTGCGAAGGATTTGGCACCTGCTGCAAGTGCCAAATCGCTGAGCCAAAGGTGCTTTTCCATATCCTCCATTGAAGCTCGGGATGAAGTCCGTGTCAGACACCACATCTCCAGCATTTGTTCAGACCAGTAAGCTACAAGTATCATTGAAGCATGACATACTCAATATAAGAATCTAATTGACAATTGTGAAGGAATGGATCATGTTTCAATGTTGTCATGACAACATTTGGGGCTTCTGTGGCTCTAACCCAGGTTTCGTGGCATGGATCCAAACCTGCCAATGAGTCCTGAAGCATCCTGAAACCCATTCTGCTCCAAAATCCCCAAAGCCTTCCAGAAAAATCAGCCAAGGCTGTCCCCGAGCTGTTCAGAACCAGAAAGGTTGGCATCCAATGGAAGTCGCTGAAACCAAGAAAACACAGAGGTCAAAGATCTTAAGACACAACAAACCTTTGCAAAAAAAAACTCACGTTCCTCACCTCTTTGCAAATGCTGGGGCCCCGACCAAACCATCAGATGGCGCCCCCAAGCAGTCGCCGGCTGAGGTGCATTCCTGGCCACTGTTGCTATTCGTGAGTGGCTTGGATTCACAGCGCTGTTGGAAAAACGATGGTCTAAACCACAAAAAACTACCATCCCCAAGTTGCAAAAACCATCATTTGTAGGCAGATGGGCCCGTGACGTACCTTTTTTGGATTACCCAGAAACAGTCATTTCTGTTCATTCAGTGCCTATTCTTGCTGGCGAAACCTCCATCGTAAGCTCAAACTTCCGTGGTTCTGGTGAAATCCTCCAAATGTTCAAAAAAGACCTAGAGAAAACAAGAGTCATATATTGTCATGATAGTGTCATGTGTCATGTGTTTCAGTCTTAACCATCCATTTTTGCTTCGTCCCAACATCTGGGCCCCGCGCCGGATGACCATTCTCTTCGGGCAGCGCTTCGCCGCCTGTGAGAATTCGTATCTCCACTTCTTGCAGAAATGTGTATTAAATGTGACATGAATGTTATATTGCAGATACAATATCTATATATATATATATACGTATATACACATATCACATTAGTATAAATATGTGTATACAAATAAATGTAGGAAACATATCAAATTGTGTTGTCTTTGATGTGACAATTCTTTGAAGAGATTGCAATGTCGTTGAAGAAATCTGCACGCCGAAGCACCTGCACCGTTCAGATCCTCGCCATCTTTCACGTCCAAGTCCTGTGCCCCAGTTGAGTGTTTCTTAGCTAAAGTGGTATGGTGAGTGGATTACTCTGATTAAACCAACACATAAACCAACACTAAATAGGATAAATACCATTAACCTTGGTGGTATTGGTATGGTATGCTTGAATAAAAAACCAACACGCATAACTGCGAACTGGATGCATCCCAGGATCGTAAATGATTAATTACATACATATATCTACATTGTTCTACATCTATGAATAGTAACAGTAAAGCCATGTAAACCCAATAGACAACTGGGGTATAATGTGCTTATTAGTTATTACCCGCTTACGCAAAGGAATGCACATCCAAGTACCTAGTAAACACCAAAAAAAAAGATGGCGAGCTACACCAACACACATCTCTAAGACATGATGAAGCCAGCAACGAGTGGATGGTTTCAGCACTATCAGCACTACATAGTGATCTAATACGATCTGATTTTCGGGCGTCAAGGATTCGTTTCTTGACCCGCATAGTCACATCCTGCCAGCGACATGGCACGGTGATGCCATCCGGTTTCCTCAAGCTCCGCATCTTCTGGTTCAAGAGTCTCCCAGGGGTCCTGCCCACGGATCTCATTGTCGCCTGTCTTATTTTTCTGATTTTTTCTGGACGCGTCTGAAAATCCTTGTCCCTATATCTGGCCTTTGGTGGTTTGCTTCAGGACTATCCTCCTGTTTTTGAACAACATCTAGTTTGATATTTAGTGGTAGCCTCGTTCTTTCAGCCTAATCTCTGGGTAGCAAGGAACTAGGGAAGTGGGGGAAAAAAAAAAAACATGTTGATATGATCTTCTGAATGGCAACTGGCCGTTTCCCGTTGCCGTGAGAGAGGCCATCAGTAAGTGGTAGATCCAATCGATCTTGATATCCTTTGACTTTGGTGTTCCTGACACCTAGATCAAAATCTTGGTGATGCGCTCCAGTGCGCATCACAATAGGTATGGATCCATTCAAATCCACGTCTTGGCTGAAGTTATATCAGTTAAAATTGGTTACCCTGACTTTTTATCAAAAATGCCAATGGAAACTCCCCATTGGTTTCGAACAAATCATGGCTGGGGATCTTCCAGATTCTTCCAAAAAGCAGTCCGCTGGAGTCCCAGATGTTTCAAGGATCATCAAGGGGATCTTCAAAAATCTCCCAGCATCTCCCAACTAACTTCCCTGGGAATCCTTCCGGAAAATGAAAAAACATAAAGAAATCTTCAAAAATAAGATATCAGCTATATCATGGTATATCCACCTTAAACATGGTTAAACCATGTTGGCCACCACCTGGTTTTCTTCGACAAAAAATCTCTCGGTTCAACAAAAACACCGTCGAAGTTCAACTCGCCTTGAGCTCGGCATCTTCTTCCTCCAGGACCTCCCAGGGGTCCCAGCTGTGGGCGGAAAAAAGGGCCCAGCTGTGTCTGGGACCATCTGGTTGGTGGTTAATAATGGTTCATAATGGTTAATAATGGTTCATAATGGTTAATTATGGCTGGTTGGTGGTTGAGCCACCTACCCCTCTGAAAAATGATGGACTTCGTCAGTTGGGATGATGACATGCCCAACTGAATGGAAAGTCATAAAATTCCATGGTTCCAAACCACCAACCAGCCATAAAATGGGGGGGTGTTTATTTTGGGTGGATGGGATGATCAGTATGATCAGTATCATCAGTACCTGGGTACCTGTTCTGGCTGGTTTTTCGGCTGAATAACATGTCTGAGCTCAATGGGTCCATGTTTGCTAGTTCACTGAAACTGAAATCTGGTTCACTCCAAGCACGAGCAACCATGATATCATAATCTGAAATGGATATGTGTAATATGCCCAATTCCAATCGTTGCATCAGTTTTCCAAATGAGGGTTGACCCCAATTTCATGTTTCGGTAGCTACATTTAAATATACGGATCTTTAAATATACGAACTGGTATTTTAGACTATGTCTGGGAAGGCGTTCCTTGACCCGCCCGGCCATTTGAACGTACGGAATTCAATTTGTTTACACATACATTCAAATATACAGATGGAACTGGTGTTTCATACTACCTCCGGGGCGTCACGGTCTCGCCTGCCCTCCACATATTTAAATGTTGTTACCGTTCTCCAAACTACGTTTCTACTGGATCTACTCAAATATTGGTGTATATATATATAATATGCTATACAGTAAGACAGAAATTCGGAAAATCCTTCCCCGCAGAATTGAATACGATCAACTCTCAGGAAACTATATACTTGGTCCCACTAACCCAGTGTTGGGAGATGTTGGGAGAAAAAAATTGTCCCAGTTTTAGGCTTTCAAAAAGAATTTGCCGAATTATACAATTGGTTTTGGTGGGTCAAAACCTCCTATTGCTCGCAGATTTGGTCAAAACCATGTCACCCCTGTCGGAACCTCTTCCTTCGCACCGTTGGTGCCATTCTCTGCTGCAAAGTCGCCCAACTCCTTCCCAGTCAGCAGGGTGTACTTTTTGGGGTCTATACTAGCTGGTTTGATGGAGATTACCAAAAAATCAAAATCTGATATGGGAACCCCTATCAACCAACCAGAAAGGGATAAGATATGATTTTGGTGACTGTTTAGCTGCTCTCTGTGAATATCACCCAACCATGGATAATAATGGAAAATACAGTATGTACACATATATATATAATATAATATGATATAATATGTATTAAGTATAGATAGACAAAACATAGTGCCCCATAGGTAGCTAAGTTGGTTTACAAGTGGATTAACTCGGGTTTGTGATCATCATAACTAGTGTTAGACGGCGAAATACAGCAACTGATCACCACCAAACTGATCCGTGTCCTCCTCTTCTGGGGGATTCTCCTGCCGGAGAGGCGGCATGGGGATATCATGGGGATATCATGGGTTTTTTCCGAAAACCATAAACCATCCACAATGATTTGCCATAAATGCGAGGTTCAATGGCTGGATCCTGTGTCACCATGTGTCACCCCCAGTTTTTTTTTTGGGGCATCTGAACATGGGGTAGGCGACCAAACTCCGATTCATAAAGCTAAAGTCCAAAAAAAAAATGGTATAGTACAGTAAAGCATATAACTCAAGTATGTACCGTATATTACCGTATAACACGTGTCTTTCTTTGGTTGTTTCATCCCCATTTCATTCATTGGCTGCAGCTGCCCCAACGAGACCCTTAACCAGGTCCCCAGACCTCTTCAGCTGGCACCTGGTAATCCAACATGGCAAGCTGGAAACTCCCGGATCCAGAGGGTAAACCACACATAATGGGGGATATAATGGGATGCATAAACCAAACAGAAGATCATGGGAATATAGTAAGTGTTTTGGGATACCAGCAACCATCAATCCGCCATAATGCCTCTAGCCGCATGGGCATGGGTCCATGCCGGATTCGAATTTAAACCAATAATTTTTGAGGTGTAGAGGTTCATGTGACTAACACACTGTTATTTCCATAGCGTTGCCACTTTTTGGATTGATTGAACATGCATTTGCATATGTTCCCACGCAAACTCATGTGTGCAAACCCTCATCACTTCATCAATGCGTCACATGCTGGTTGTGGGGAAACATGACGTTGAAGGAGTTCTTCATGAATCCAGACCCTCAATCATTATGTCACATGGTGGTTGCAAGCACTGCGAGCAACCATAACAGTAAGAATTGTCGTGACAAATCCACCCCCACTGAAACGGTGTCGGTTTCCAAGCCGTTTCGTTTTGAAAAACATGCCGAAAACTGAAGTCCACCCGCACTCTGCCCGACCTCCTCCTCCTCATCTCGAGTTGCTTCCTGCTCCTCTGCTTCCTCTGGCTCTTCGCCACCTCCGCCGCCTCCTGTCGCAGAGGGATCACCAGCAAGCCAGCAAAATGCAATTTTTGCTGCCGGGCCCGCTTCGAGACGTAAAAATAGTGTGGGTGCCTTCCTGCCACGAACCACGGAACCTGTCGATGATTTGGATGGCAGTGCCCTAGTGTAAACAAAATGTGCAATTTTGAGTTGGCTGAAGAAATCCAACAAATTTTGAATGATACGGAAACTCCTGTTCACAAAACCCCTGTCCTGTTTATGACTACTGCCCCCTCAAGGCCACCAGCCGGTTCGAGCCCGCAGTGTCGGGGTGTAAAATACCAATTTTGTGGGGCTTAGGTCCTACAAGAGCTGTGCAAAAGAAAGGGCCCATCTGCGGTTGCTTCCTTCCCACACCGCTTGCATCCAACATCATCCAACCAAATCAACCACAGCCTTTGGGTAAAAGGCAAAACACAGCCACTTGAAAGATGCCGCTTGCACCAACAAAACGCTGCTCCATCTCGATCCAAAGCATGAACGTGAGGGTCGAACAAGCTAATCTGAAAGACCGACAAATATGAAAAAACGCTCTTTTTGGAAACGGAACTGATCTATGGCTGCCATTTGACCACATTGATTGTTGCCCAGTGGATCATCCATTGCCCCTCACCGATCCAGGCCCTGGCCATGATGAGCAGCACCTTCTGGCCCCGGAAGAGCGCCAATCTGTCCATTTTCTCCCATGCATCGAGCATGGGTTTTCTCCCTGCAAGGCTTCCCTTCGTGGTGCTGGAAGCAACACACATGGGCGACCAACAGCTTTGCTCCGTCATGCTTTTGCTTTGGCATCGGCATGACGAAGTGACCGCGGCTGTGCGTGTGTGTGTGTGTGTGCGTGTGTTTGCGCGGATGTTTGCGGGTGTTTGCGTGCATGTTTGTGTGCGTGTGTGCGTGTCCGTGCGCATGCGCGTTTCCAGCTGCAAGCGGACGCTGCGCTGGCACTGCTTGTGTTGGATAATCAAAGGGCCTTTTGTGGCCACAATTTGTGCTTGCATTGCTCTTGGTTTGTGCTTGTTGTGTGGCCTTTCGCCTGTGGCTGCCACGTCTGCGAAGTTACCGCTGCTGGGTTGGAGGGTGATGCTGCTGCCGCTCTTTGGCCTCTGTGCTTAGGGTGCTTTTGCTGCATCATGCCAACAGCGTCCAGGGCGCCGCCCTACAATAGCATATATCACGGACAACGACAACCACCACCAGTTCCCATGGTGGGCTTGCTGCCAAAAATCACCCCTTAATCATTTTAAAACGCCCCTGGTCACCAAGAAAATCAGCCACAAACTCGTCCTCCGCCGTCATGGCCTGCAGTGGTCCCGCGCGGTGTCGAAAGAATATGCAGCAGGGCTGGGTCGAAAGACTTTTTTGGCGCTCTATCAATGTTTGAATCCAAAGGATGTTCACATGGCCAAAATAACAATGTCTATCTTTCGGCCTGTTGGCTATGATCAAGTGTAGTGTCTGTTCTTATCAGCTGGACAATTGACATGTCTCCAGTGGACAGTGGAAGTTGAGCTGACTTGTATGTTTAACCGGATCGCAGATTTCGCACTGCGGGCTCGAACCGATCCATGAACCTTGAGTGAACATGGTTTGCCCAATAAATGCCGATACGGTGTTTATATGGAAGTCTGTATACCTGTAATATACATTATATACACATACATACATGAATAACATAGCACGGCATAGCATAGCGTGACAAAACATAACATACCATAACATTAGATACTTCATGATACATCAGATTACATTACACTACATTAATACAAAAATATGCATAACAAATGTTCGTATCTATATCTATCTGAGTATATATATATAACTATATCTCTACACACATACAGCATATCGCTTTGTTTGGACACGCCATCAATCGCTTTCAGGCATTTGCGCTGTTGCCCCTCCAGCCGCTCCAGCCTTTTTTCCTTCTCTTGGAAGGTTGTGGGGCTGTCTGTGCCTGCAGCCACTAGGCCAAAGCAGATCAAGGAAGATCCACAGATTCAGACTCACATCACAGCTCACCCATCTATTATTCTATTATGTTATGCGTCACATGTATGTATATATATATATATATGTGTGTCTGTAAATATGTATATATAATATGGATTATATGGATAAAGTAGAATAAATCACCAACCTCGCCTAAGGTCATGTTTGGACATTTCCCCCTGACATTCACCCTCTTTCCGTTGACTCGCGACGTGAGGTCGTACCATTCATCGAACTTCACCACCATCATCTAACTGGTGATGATCCGCCATTCATCTAACTCATCTAACTTTATTGGAAGAAAAATGGTAATGCATCAAAATCATGCCAAACCATGGTCAATAATCGTTGATGATCATCCCAAAAATCATCATCAATCATGGTTGATGATCACTTTTCTTGATTATCCCATATTATGATGGATGATAAATAATGATTATCCCAATTATGATGTTATATTTTTTGTTGAATATCCCGTGAAACCCAAACAATGATTAATCGTCAATAATCGTTAACGCTTCACACTGCTTAATGTCCGAGGTGCAGCGTGCCACTCCTCAAACATCTTTGACACCGCCCTGAGACGGGAACCAAACAAAGCGGCGAGCAAGTGTGTGCCATATTAATGTATATGTGCTACATTGTTTATACGATGATATGATGGATCTATGATAGAGTATACGGGATATATATATTATATATACACACTATATTCACTCTATAATTAATATATATATATACAATGTGAGCAATCTCATAAACTCAAGCTTCGCGAAAGGACATCAACAAATCTGGGAAGGTCCCATCGCTTACCACACGTTTGTAGAAATTGATGTATGGCAAAATTGGGACGCATCGCTTAAAGAACAATGAATGAAAATGACGTATGTGCACAGGTATGACATAAACTTAAAAGTGGGTGTTGCTATTTGGGAAGGTCCTATCGCTGACCTCATGTTTGTACAATGACTGATAAGGAATGCCCGTCTCTTACATGTTTCCTATTGCGGGAGTTTTCGCGATGGCTTATGTGTTGTTCACAAGTTTCGTAAAATAATAAGCTGACCAAGTCACAAATTCTTCAACTACCCAAGTTTTGAACCTCTTTACCAAGTAATGACCCACCAAAAAAGATTCCTGGACCATCTGAGCAGCCAAACGTTCTCAGAAACTTCCAGTTTCTTGGCGGTCTTCCGATCTGGTCCACCAACATGCTCGGGATACTGGGCAGCTGAGAGCGTTTTTTGGCTGGTTGGAGATAGGAACAACATGGAACAAATCACACGGAAAATGTTCAGTAAGATTTGAGATTTCAATGAGAAACTCGACTTGGAAAAAAGGAAAATGCTGGACTTGGTCCAGCCGTCCCATCATGACTTGGTGTAGCTGAAAGATTCAATCTTGGCACGTCTTCGTTGCACCGAGTCTTGCTTTTCCTCTCAAATAGGTGTCCTTCAGTTTTAATCATGTTTTTCGTTTCCGAAATGGCTGGTCACTTCACTGCAATCGTTTCGACAGCATCGTGAGCTTCGCTTTTCTTCGGCACCAAATCATTTCAACAACTCCATCTTGGTCACCAGGAGTCCATCTAAAGGGGGACCATTGTGGGACCAAAACGGCCCTGGTGCGGTGTCAAAGTTATGGCTAACATTGGCTAGCCGTATCAAGAAATGTCGGGCCTTATTCCCTCTTACGGCTAACCAACTTCTCACTGACCCCACCCATGGCGCACCACGTATATTCATGCCCCTCGCCAAAGGGAGCAATGAGATTTTGAAAGAGGCGAATCACCTGCCTTGGAACCATCCCGGCCCGATGGGTGCTGATAGAAGCCATGATGAGTGGTGATGTGATCATCAAAAACATCCATCTTACCAAGAGTAAATGCTGATCGGAACTGGGTGTTTGGTATCATCCCTAGAGCCAATAAGCACAGGGTTTTTTCCCTGTGCCTTCCAAAAAACCGGCACAGGCCGTAGTTTAACAACCTGTCGAATGTCGGCACCAGCCAATCTGGGCAGCAATCACCATCTAAGATCCCATGTAAGATCCTTTGGGGGCCGATCTTCTCCCAATTTTTTTAGAAATCCATAGAAATCCCATATCTTCCCCCCCATTTTCCGTCCGATTCCACTGGCGATCTCCACTGAAGAGGTCCAGGCCCAGTGCTCAGGACTTGTTCCGCACTCTCCAGGGCAGACCAGGCTCGTTGCATGCTGGTTTCCATCCACCTGGGAAAAACGGTGGGTAAGTTTTCGACTCGAGAAACAGAATGATTCAGAAATTTAACGAGGTTGTAAATTTAGGGAATTACCAAAAAATCTTCGGGAAGAAAAATGATGTTTTTGGTTTGGGAAATTCTTCGGAAATTATAAACTAATTTTGGTTTGGCACGCTGTTTGGTCCATGGCATGGGTCAAGTTGCGGAACCCCTGGAGCTGAGGGATCTTCATAGGATACCAAACAAAAAGACATGCTGCTTATGGGGAAAAAAAACATGAGGAAAATGATGATAAACCATGACAATGAAATATGATAAGCATTGATAAACCATGATACAATATGATACAATGATAAACCACACTAAAACATCCTAAACCACAATAAACCACAATAATTCATGATAATTCATGACAATTCATCAAAATTTGGGCCTACCCGTCTCGTAACAAAGCCTAATTCACGGCCGGCCCCTGCTCGCAATGTGGTTGCGTGGTTGCGACTTAGATCCCGGCCGTCTCGTGAAGGTTTCCACCTTCCTTGCCTGAGGTGGTGTTGAAAATATCTTGTTTCGTGTTGTTTCGATGATCTTTTGTAGATGTTTTCCAACATTCTTGTAGATTGGATATGATTGGATGGGATTCCCCTCACGGGAAAAAAAAACTTCGCCAGTATCGGTGTCCAGGAGAAATCTGAAATGAGGTAACCAGACAATCAGCAAAGGTTAGCATTGGGTCCGGGTCGTCTATCCCCACACGCTGATGGTGAAGCAGTTTCCCCTCATCTTCTATAGGACAGTGGTCCCACTGAGTGCGCAGCATCATCTATGGGTCTCGTATCAGCCAGCAGCCTCAGTGCCAACTGTGGTGCCCATTTGGATCCCTCCGGTGGTCCAACTGTTCTGCCGACAAATCCTCCTTTCCATGTCTTTCCCACGGCTCGATTTTCCCACGTGGCCACTATTTACTCAGTTCCCCTCCTGTTTTGTCCATAGTTCAGTCCCAATCTTAGATGCCATGCAAAAAGTGAAATTCTTGGTTGGTTATTTTGGACATATATATATATATACATGTATGTATGTATGTATGTATGTATGTATGTATGTATGTATGTATGTATGTATGTATGTATGTATGTATGTATGTATGTATGTATGTATGTATGTATGTATGTATGTGTATATATATATATACATATGATATACGTATATTATACTTATATTATATATATATACGTATAATATATATATATACGTATATACGTAATCATACGTACATCCCCCAGTTTTACCAAAAGCTTAGTCAATACTAAACTGCCCATCCAGCTGGTTTCCCACAGGTCTCCCACTCATCCAACGCTGGCTGGTAGGTATTGTGCACCGCTTTGAAAATCTGGTGTTGGTCGCTTCCAAAAAAAACGAAAGGCCGAAAACATTGAAATCCCATCATTGAACGAGGGATGGTATCGCACACGCTCGTTTTTTTCATGCATTCAGGGTGAGCTGGGTAACAGGACGCCAAGAGTCAGCAACTTGTGATGAGTTGGTTGTTTCAAAAACTCATGCGCGTTGCAGGTACAAATGCCAGGCCGTTATGTAAAAATCAGCCACCAAAACATCAATCAACCATCAATCAACCATCAATCATCCATCAGTCATCCATCAATCAACCATCAGTTATCTCTATGTGTATATATATTTATTTATTGATTTATTCATTTAAATTTAGCAACCCTTGAACAGGAGCCTTCGGCTGGATGTCCCTGTCTTTGAACGTCAGCATAGTGGCGTCCCAGACCGCCTGGACGTAAAGATTTATCGATTTAACTGACGTCCGAGTGAAGTCATTACCACGAATCGGAACTACCTAGCAATTCATGATATGTGATAAGGACAAACAAAAATTGGGGGTGTTGACGGAAATGATATGCAAACATGTTTTCTTGGTTCATGGGCATGTTCATCCATCTCGCGGTGTTTTTTCTCCAAACAATTGTGGTTCAATATAGTATGGGGTATGGTTATCTCACCATCATTAGACTGGGGGAACACGAAAAGTAGGTGATCAAGAAGGGGAAGCAAAGCCTCTCTGTGTAAAAGTTGGCTGTGTGTAAACGCGTGCTGTGTGCACAAGTTTCTGTGTGCAATTGGTGTCTGTGTAAAGACATCTGTGTGTAAAAGCGCCTGTATGTAAGAATGTTGTGCGTAAAACCTTCTGTGCGGAGAACTTTCTGTGTAAAACCGTTCTGTCTATAAAAACTGCTGTGGATATTTTTTTTTCTGCGTAAAGGCTTCTGAGCGAAAAAAAAATGTTGTGTAAAAACTGTTCTCTGGGTAAAGTTTCTGCGTGCAAAAAAGTCGGTCTGTAAAAACTTCTGTATGCAATCTGTGTGTACAAATTTCTCTGCGTCAAATGTTTTTTGTGTAGAAAAAACATGTGTAAAAATTGTTCTGTGCAAAGGTTTCTCTGTGGAAAAGGTTCTGTGTGTAAAACGCCTATGTGCCTTTATTTATCTGTCTGTAAATACTTCCTTCTTTGCGTAAAAACCTCTGTGTGTAAAGGCGTCTGTGTACCTTTTTTTTTGTGCACAAACCTCTCTGCGTAAGAATATCTGCGCGTAAAAGCTGCTGTGTGTAAAGCCTTCTGTGCGTAACGTCGTCTGTCTGTAGAAACATATCGGTGCAAAATGCATTACCACAACCAAAACGGGAAAAAAATGAAAGAAAAGAGTCCAAGATCAAATGCTTGATGTCGTTATCGTTGTTGATGATGGCGATGATGCGCGCAGGGCCTCGCAAGGCGTCATTTTGGTTGTCTTAAGTCAATTTTTGAAAGCCTTCGGAACAAATTACTTTCTTTGAGTGGTCCCCACCAAGTGACACTGTTTTTGACATATTTTCTGACATGCTATCTGGCATTCGCATTTTATCTCATATATTTTCTGCAATTCTTTCTGGCATTCTATCTGGTATATCTTCGGAGATTCTTTGTGGTTGAGGTCCGGCGGGCAACACTCTGATCATAAAGTTTGATGTTTTTGTTGTTGTTGTTGTTGCTGGTGGTGTTGTTGTTGTTGTTGTTGTGGTGGTGGTGGTGGTGGTTGCTGGTGGTTGCTGGTGGTTGCTGGTGGCTGCTGGTGGTGGTGTTGGTGTTTGTGTTTGTGTTGGTGTTGGTGGTGTTGTTGTTGTTGTTGCTGCTGCTGCTGCTGGTGTTGTTGTTGTTGTTGTTGTTACCCCTGCAGCTTTTTTCTCAGTCACGTAGTGGCCAAAAATCATCAAATAGGATGTGTGTGTGTGTCTGTGTGTGTGTGTGTTCGCATTTCTTTGAGACTCTCGGAGCAAAAAAACGCCGTAAATATCCGTAAATACCAATGGTTTTTTGCGCCTCGGAAGCCCAAAAGCACGGTATTTACGATGTTGTTTGCCTTTGGTAGCAAAAACCACGGTATTTACAGTGTTTTTTGGACAGCACCTAGCAAAAACACTGGTATTTATGCAGTTTTCAGCATGTTGCAAGAAGTACTTTTTCCATGCCAAAGGCACAAAAACACGTAAATTACAGTGTTTTTGGTCTGCTCTAAGGGTTCGTAGAGGGGGCGGAGGGGGGGGGGTCCTCAAATGAACAGCAATCGCCTGAATAATCAGGTACCTGGGCTGGCCAGCCTCCCCTTTACTTCGTAACTCAAGGTAGCACCACTAGAGCTACCTTTCGTGATATGATTAGGGATTCCTTGTAATGGCTATATTCACCACTATCCGATAGGGATGACCATCCCCGTTGGAAACTTCACCAAATTTCACCACCAACCCCAGTTGGGCCAGATTTTGCAGCCCACCTTGGTCAACAGCGACTTGTCCAGATGTTGTTCAAATTCCCGCACCACGAAGTCTTGCACATCCTGGAAGTGCACTTGCGGTCGCCCCCGCCTTGGTGGCAGTGGAAAAGCCTCTGTGAAACAGATCGCTTAATGAAATGAATTCCCAAATCAGACACTCCAATAGTCTCCAATACATCAACTGCATAAGTATGTATATATATAGACATATGTGGTTGGTGGTTTCAACCCTCCCGGGAAGAAAAATAAAACAGTCAGTGGGAGTCGTCATCCCAAATGCGCTTGAAAATAACTATATAAAATATGTGAAACGACGAACCAGATATATCTTATATGCATATATGTACATGTTTTATGTCCATGACATGTCCAGAGACTGAAATCGGCTTTTCCCAGATTTACCCTCCTATTCTTAGATATTTGCTTCAGGGTCCAAATACATATCTGGTTGGTGGTTTCAACCCCTCTGAAAAATATTAGGCAGTTGGGATGATTGTTCCCAATATATGGAAAAATAAAAAAATGTTCCAAACCACCAGCCAGATATATAACTTATAATTATTCCCAATGGATTCCCCATGTCTAGTGTATTTCCCATTGAGAAAGTAAGCCAGACCCGGCTCAAAAGCAGCATTTTAGCACCATAAATCTCCGCCCAGCTGCGCGGAAGCTTGCACCAACTCCCAAACAGCTGATGTGAAGGCGTTCCCCAGGGCCAACTGAGGCGCATCCGATATCGGATAGGGCAGGCGGTCTGAAACACCATGAAACAAGATCGTTTCCCATCATCGTTACATTGGGATTTCATAAGGAAAACAATCATCATGCTGAACAATTATTATCATGAAATCGGCACTTCGGTTCAAAAGAATTGGTCATAATTGGTGGGTTCCCTGAATGAAACTGGTGGTACGACCAGCCCCCAATATGGGAAGATCGAACCCAACTTTTGACGGAATGACCTGTGGGAAATGGTTGGTTAGTCTGTCGTTGGGTGAACTCGGATCAAGTGAGGACATAACCCAATTATCCAATGGTAACGATCATCCGTGTGGTCTTCTTAGGAATTCTTATCCAGCAATGCACAATCCAAACAAGGGAAAAGACGTGTAACGTACTTGCCGGTTCACCTCAGTAGGTGGGTTGTAACCCCAGTAACAACCGGACATTGTTCCTATTTACCGTACTTGTGGCTGGGTTATAAAGTTATAACATGTTACAAACCTACTTACTACCTGGGATGAACCACCAATTACAGTATATCCTCAAACATCCAGCAGTCATTAACCGATCATCAGCACTCAACCTATGCACCCACCAATCACCTCTTTAAAGCCCTGGAAATGCGTTCGTCACCATGCCTTGCCTGGTAGAACCAGGGTTTCTCGCTGCAAGCAGAGACATAGCTACCCATGCCATGGTGCACAATGGTCTTGGAAATCTGCGCAGGGATCGCAAACTGCTTTCGTTGCTGCCATCCCACACCCGAAGAAGAACCAAAGCTAAGGTTCCTTTGGTGTGTCTCCAATGCATGCTGCTTCCAATGGTGCATCTTTAAAGGCAATGATATGTGAAAGATCGTGGCCTTGGCACCAACAAACATCGCTTCCGAACCCTGTCTGATGTGGTCACATGTGGTCACGGTTGTCACAGCCCACCCCAGATCCGCCTCCTGCCAGGGTTTGTGCATCAAATCGGGAGTCTCAGGGATCGGATCGTGGCGCGGTGACGGGGCGAAGAAAATGCTCGGGAACTGCTGGGAACTGCTGGGAACTGCTGGTACCCTAGTGGCCCATGTGCGCCCCAAGTTTTGGATGGTAAAATGTTGACCCTCTTGGGTTGACCAACTTTTTTTCGGTGTCTACAAACCATGAGTCGCAAATGGACTATCCGAAAAAACGGGTGACTCACCACCGAATTTCTATCAAAGTTCCAAAGGTGATCATCATGTTCCCTCTTATACAGTAATTGACATTGAAGGTTTCCCTTTTGGGGGTAAACCGTAAACCCATGTACCCCATGTTGGTATCCCCAATTTCAGACAAACCCATATCATATTGTTGGCTATATATATATATAGCTGTGTATGCAATTGGATTTAACCAAGGATAGGGGTATAAATCAAGCATTCTATGGGGATATGTCATGGAATATGTTAGATATATTTATACATAGGATATATTCAACAAATTGTGGGATACACTTCGAGAATCGGAACTCGAACGGGGATATGATCTACCATAAATCTTAACCACAGGGATTTAACCAACTATATAATATTACGGGGGTTATGGATGATATGGGATCCAACAAAATATAATATATACATATATAAATATGATATGTCGTACAAAATTATATTATAATGGATTATATAATGGATGATATCATATATATAATGGATGATATCAACTACCGGGGATTATGAGGCTATGAACCAACCATTGAGAGTGGAGATGCTAATGGCGCACGCCTTCGCAGCCTTGTAGATGTAGCCTACAATTCGCTTCACAATCTCCTGGGCTGCTACGGCGAAGCAAAGAATGTCACGGAAGGATTTGTCAACTTTGTGTTTGTACAGAAGATATCCCTAATATGTGTATCATATATATATGTATGCATTCAAAAGATATGTCTATATATATATGTGTGTATGTACATATTATGTATATATATATATATTATACATATTATGTGTATGTATATATATATATACCCGAGGAGCCTGGGGTTCTCCGATGGAGAAGCGGTGGGGTGGGGTGGGGTGGGGTGGGGGGGTGGGGATGTTGCCGTCATGTTCATGTTATGTTGATGTTACGTTGATGCTACGTTGATGGGAGGGTCGGGCTGGGGTGTCATGGTTAGTGATGCTACGTTGATGGGGGGTGGGTTGGGGTGGGCATGTTACCGTCATGTTCATGTTACGTTGATGCTACGTTGATGGGAGGGGTGGGGTGGGGTGGGGGCATGTCAGTCATGTTCATGTACGTTGATGCTACGTTGATGGGAGGGGTGGGGTGGGGAGGCATGTTACCGTCATGTTCATGTTACGTTGATGCTACGTTGATGGGGGTGGGTGGGGTGGGGTGGGGTGCTGTTACCGTCATGTTCATGTTACGTTGATGCTACGTTGATGAGAGGGGTGGGGTGGGGTGGGGCATGTTACCGTCATGTTCATGTTACGTTGATGCTACGTTGTTGCTAGAATGAAAACACAAAAATCGCCTGACTGTCAGCACTTGCAATTTTCTACACATTGCCAATTCATTGCAAATAAGTGCAAAAGTAGCATGACGCAAAATGCCTGGGAAAACACAGTACATTTGCTCAATTTTACATGACCACGCCATGACTATACGATGAAAATTCACAATTTTACACCAAAATATGTGATTTCTGACTTCTGAGAACATGATTTATGGCACAAGATGACTCTGCTTTAAAACGGACGAAAAAAAATTGATCCGTTCAACATGATGCTGAAAAGGACGTTGCCACTATTGAAAAATTGGCAAATTACCTAGGCGCCAGCTGTTTTTTTACATGTTGACACTCAAACACAGCTGATGGCATCGGAGAACCTCAGTCCCCTCGCATATATATATATATATATATATATCCCATGTATCTGAAAAAAAAAAACACATATATATGCGGATATGTACACATAGAATATCCAACTTAACTATAGCGTTGTCCCGATGATCATTCAATTGCTAGGGTCTCCCATGGTCGCAGCCCCTCTACGCGCACAGTCCAAGTTACGGTTCTGCTCCATTTATCCTCCTCTACCTTGACGTCATCCACCGCCTGGCTTGTTCCAAAGAAGTTTCGCCGCTGTGCCCTTTGAATTGTTTAGCTATGCTGGAGCATTCTATCTTTTTGGGGAACAGGACCTGTATCACTCTGATCCTTGGCGCAGGCACTTTTCGCACCTCCCCAACGATGCTGTAGAGGTTCCCGTGGATCTCGGCAGCCAAACATGGAGTACCAAACGACCCACAAATGGATTCTGGCGCCTGTCATTGTTGCTATATGTTGATACGAGTGACTAGTATCCCAGTTTCATCAATGGAGCCTAGGGCCCTGCTGCTGTCATCCAGGCGCCCGGCTCTCTCCAAGATTTGCTCCTGGCTCACCTGCATCGGAAAGGCGCAAAATGCACATTTTTGGCCCACTATTTGTACCATCCCCTCAACTAGCACATAGACCCCTGCCGAACCCGGGCTTGGAAAACAGGCTGTCAAACTGGTAGCTGGGAGGATGGCAAATCCCTATTCAATTGTTGTTGCTAGCAAAATCGGAATTATTGCTGATGACTCTCCACCAATAATCATGAAGACACACTAATTACCTCTAATTCCCATAAAATAATCTAGTTCCAGTAGTTTCCGAATGATAAAATTCCAATTATTGCCAGTGGTTTTCCATTAAGAACCGGCGGATGTCAGAGTGTAGACTTGTGGTGATGCAAACCCCCTGGGTCTGTCCAAGGGATCGAAGGGACAACTGGCCCATGCGGAGGTTTCCTAAGTCATGAGGGTACCCCAAATCATCCAGTCGTCATGAATGACCATGACTTAGTATTGAACCGTCCCATTTTAAGAGACACCCAAGCTGTCACCTATATTGATTATGATGAAATGCTGCAAACCGCTTGAAGGTCTGGCTGTTTTGTACCAAGCTGTGATTTAACCCATGAATAAACGAGTGGTAAAATCCCAAAATCGGTGCTGCTTAGATGCCAGTTATGATTCTCTGTGATCTAACTGTCACAAATGGCATCTAACTCCCAGAGAATTAGTGTTTCTAATTTATGATTAGTGGTAAACAACTAATTCCCAGGAAAAAAAAAACACGTCCACCTGCCGGCCGCGTTGGTGCGGGGGGCCATGGTTGCCCTGTGGCCACGATCCCTGCAAGCGTGGTCAAGGATGGTAAGGATGGTATTTTTGGGGGGAACATCCCTCCATGATATCAGATGGGGAGATGTTGCTGCAAAAGAAGGTTGCAACGAAAGGAATGATATTATTTTGGTATGTGAAATATGTCCCATATTTAATCATGGAATATATCATGATATGATGGGGATCATGATGATATGATTGATATGATCCTATACTTTATATAGTATAGATAAGCCAACCGGCTACTCAGTATTTGCCAGGATATATTCTGGGACTTTACCCTCTGGTTATTTAACAGTTTGCTATGGGAAATGGCCCATGTATAGATGATTAAACAAATAAAACCGGATCATGATGTGCCTATTAAAATAATGGTAAATGGAAATGGTTAATGGAACAAACCTGCTGCGGAAAAATGGTGTAGAGTGTAGAGATACCATAGATAAATGGTTCATATGCTGAATGGTTTTATTATACCATAAGTAATGAATCCTATACTGGTGAACGTATTTTTGGTATCTAATAATATGTGTAAATATATAATATTATATAATTATATATGGAATGGATTAAAATCTTATATAATACACCAGTTCATCTCCGGAACATATGCTATTGCAAGAATGATTGGCTTGTGTAGGTTTCAACCCATTCCCCCATGGTTGAAGTCACCAAATACTCAGAGATGTCCCACTATCGATGAGTCATAGGTGATGCCCACTCTGTCACCAGTATAATGGGTTCGGGTCCGTCCGGCAGCAGATCGACCAAGACTGAGCTGCAGGCTCTATACTGATGCCCAATCATGATGACAGATGCTTGGGCCAAACCAAGGCAACAAAGGATTGACCACGGATCACAATTGCTATGACTGGTTGGCTTGAGACCTTGAAAAGTTTGGAATAGGTTGAGTAAGCCCTCCTTTTCATACTAGGGTGTCCAAAGTGGTCGAGATCTCTGACGTATCCAAACCCAGTGGCAGGGTAGCCCTCAAAAGACGAGGCATTCAGGGTTCAAGAGAATTTTGGAGTGAAACTCAAAACCTGGGACGGGAACTGTCGAACCACAGTGTAACAGAATTGCGCATTTGTTGGTGTAAAAATTCCAAATGCTTGGATATCCATTTGGGGGAATCGGAAACTGACAGGATCTCCCACATGCTTTCATTTCGTTTCTACTGCGGCGAACGCGTAAGGTTTCGTTTCATGGCCTTTTAGCAGGTTCGGCGCTGGAGATGAGTGTTGGCTTTGCGCATCATCTAGGAATGTAGAGAGTAGGGGACTCCAAAAAGGCTGAGCAGAATACCAATGCCCATTCTTTGTTCACCAAAGGTTACCCTCTGGTTATTCAACATAGCGAACTGGAACATCACCATTTTTAGAAGGTAAATCGTCATTTTTATCATCTACAAATGGTCCCTTAATTACCATTTTCCAGTTCGCAAACTCTTAAGACACCATAGGCTCAATTAAATCTATTAGATATATCATCATCCCCATGATTATCATTATAATCATATGGGAATTATTAAATATCACTATCATATATATATATATCATTAAATATAGGAATCTTAGGAATCATGAAAAATATCACGACATCATAATTTGTTTAGGTCATATAGGTCATATCGTGATCATCATCACCACCATATCTAATAATGTCAACCCTAGGCTGTTTAATTGGGGGGGGGTACCATTTCGGTAGCCATTTATGACTATTTCAGGGGGAACCACCACAATTAATCAAGCAGCCAATTAATGAATAATTACAATTTGGGGTTTAGTCTAATAATGGGATAATGTCAACCATCTAATAAATAATCGGTTTAGCAAAATCCGGGGTTGACATTATCCCATTAAATGGCTATTATTGCTTATTAATGGGATTGATTTAATAATGGATAATTGATGGGATAATGTCAACTATTATTGCTTATTAATGGGATTGATTTAATAATGGATAATTGATGGGATAATGTCAACATTAATGGCTATGATTATCCATTATCCCATTGGACAACATTAAGATGGTCAATTAAGATTAATCAATTACTAATCAATTACATGAAGATGGTCAATAAAAATTACCAGTAATAATCAATTATTACTAATCAATGAAATTATCAATAAAATTATCAATTACTATTGGTTGGCAATGTCAATGTTGTCAGATGGTCATTGCTATTTTTTTTTCAGCCACTGTCGACAGTGACTCGATGTGGACCGCTGGACCGCTTCTCAGCTGCAGATCCAACTGGGAAACTACTGCCCGAAAAGCGAACCACTGAAATTCACATGTGTAGTATGCAGTGTATATACATATGTATATATATATATTAATATATATGTATGTAATACATGATTGTAAATATGTATTATATAATTTATACATACATTATTATATATAATTACATATACATAGTTATACATAATTATATATCTGATACATGATCATATATATATATAGTTATGCTCACCCCCCCAGAACCCCCTCAGCCTTCCTCTCACTTCTTGTATGACCATGGTTTTCTGTTTTTTGATGAAGTAGAGGTAACAGAGTAAGATAATGCGTTGATCAATCATATTTAAAATACAATGACTATACCTTTACTATAGCTTCAATATATCTTTAATATACCATTCTATTGACTGACAATATCTTCAAGATCCCTTTGATACGTATTTTAAAATACAATGCAATACACCTTCAATGCTTGATATGCAATCTAATATACCTTTAGTCTACCTTTATATAAATACAATTTTATCGGTCATGTTCTTGCCTCTAATATTTAGGATACTTTTAATATACCTTTGATGTAACTCTTAAATGCCATCTAATACATCTCTATACCTGTAATATACAATTTAATATACCTTTAGTATATCATTTGATATACCTTTAGTATATCATTCGATATACCTTTTGTATATCATTTGATATACCTAGAATCTACCTTTGATATACTTGACCTTGAAAATAAATTTAGTATGCCTTCACGATACCTTCAATACATATGCCTTTAATATACCAACTAATTTAGCAGTTAATGTACCTTTACTGTACCATTTAACAAAACATGAGAATACCTTGAATATAGTTTTAATATACCTTTAACATACCTTTGATATACATATTTAAGATCTTTTGATGTTCCTATTGAAATACTGTTGATAGACCATTGTATATACCTTGAGTGAATCATTTGATATACCATGAATATACCTTTGTTTTTTCAATATCCCTTCAATATACTATTTTATTGACCATAAAAAACATTTGTTTATTAAAGTTATTAATATACCTTCCATATACCTTTGCACTACAACTCTTTTCTAAATATATTGTATACTGTTTTCAATGAATACTGCATAGACCAAGAGAGCTTTCTTATTGAAGTTATTCTGTGCTCTTTCAAAGAGACCTCACACGTTTGTTGGCATTTTCTAGGGAATATTGCACCCATGAAAGAGTCTTGCAAAGTGTGCTAGTTTAAAGCAACGTTCCATTATCTCATACTTTTCGTAATCGAATAATGCAAACAGTGATGCTGCGCTACTACATGCCCTTAAGAATACAACACACAACAAAAGAGTGCTGTGTCCATTCAAAGACTTTCTTTCAAGGCAAAACTGCTTCAAAGTACTACTGCATCTATCCCTTTGAAAGAAATAGTACAATCTTTAAAAATGCTCCACCATTTAATGCAATATGTCCGATACTCTTTCAAAAGAGCACTGCATCCATTTAAGGACTTTCTTCAGAGGTAAGACTCTTTCAAATTGACAGCATTCTACGACACAGACACAGTACATTCTTTTACAAAATGCCCCACTGGCCTCAACTATTTTACGCAATGTGTCCGGTACTCACTCTTTGAATCAAATACTGCATTCAATGAAGGACTTTCTTTACAGGTAAGATTCTTTCAAAGTCCTGCAGCATCTATTAAAGCATTCTGTTACAAAGCAATGTTACATGTTCTCAAAAATACCCCACCATTCCACCCAAGGTATCCAAAAGTGTTTTCCAGGTACCTCTTTTCATATACTTTGTTTGAATATGTCAAACCTAGACAGGAATGTGTATGTACGACTCCAAGGTTCCAAGATTCCAAGATTTGCACAGAAGTTGCTAGAGATAAACAATAGAGCAGGAAAGCGCTGCAACAGCTAATTTTCAAGTGCATAAACATCACAGCACATCCTATGCCAAGCTGAGTCTCACATAGTGCGCAAGCTCTTGAGTGAGAAACTTTGATCAAAGTTTGACTTCCCAGGACCGGTAAGGTACGCAAGCATAAGGACACAGATGGCAATCATATGAAACAATAGACAAACTAAAAAAAACAAAGAACTCGAGCAAAACCAAAGAAAACAAAACTGTTGTGAGAATGTTTGGTTTTGACTCAAAAGATTGTTTTTGTTGTCCCTAGGTTTTTGTTGGTTTTGAAATGGAAAAACAAAAAAAACTTGTGCTTTTGTTTTTTTTGAATGGATATGATCAACCAAGATCTCAAAAAAACAAAAAAATCAAGGTGTTTTTTTGGTTTTTCAACGTTTTAGGTTTGGTTTTCTGCATTGAAAAGTCTCAAAAACCAAAACAAATCTTGAGTTTTTTTTGGTTTTGGGATCTTGGTTGATAGTATATATGCAAAAAAAACAAAAACTCAAGGTGTTTTTTGGTTTTTGGCTTTTGAAACAAAAAAAATAGGGAAAACAAGAAAACAATCTTTTGAGTCAAAACCAAACATGCTCCTCAAAGTTTTGTTTTTTCGGCTTTTTGGTTTTCCAGGCATCCCCAAGACTTTTTTTTTCCTGGGTTTTTGCGGCTTTGGTGATTCTAGATATCTATCTATTATATAAGATTTCAGAAGCATTAATGTTTACTTAAGTAAATGTATGTAAGTAACCCTAAAAATCTGAACATAAAAACACGTGTTTTATACTGTAAATACAAGATAATACCAGTACAAACAGCATGTGGGGGGTTCTGGTATATATGGGGGGGTGACCATATGTATATATACAACTATACAACTATATATAAATATATATATATGTCTAATTCTCAAAAATCTACACCGACTCGTCCCTCCTCTCATCACAAAAGATGAACGGGCGGGCCCACCGGCGCCGGTCGACGAGAACCAGCTGCGGTTTCTCCGCTCCAACGTTAACGTTTCTTCCGCAGCATGCCGAGCTGGCGACTCATTGCATGGGACGATTCAGAACTGGGATGCGAAAAAAAACAGGCAGTTTCGAATCAACGACTTGGTACTCGAAAAAGCCACCGAAATTCATGAATCACAAGTGAATGCTAAGTGAATGCTAAGTGAATGCTAAGTGAATGCTAAGTGAATGCTATGTGAATGCTGAGTGAATGCAATGTGAATGCTAAGTGAATGCTAGGTGAATGCTAAGTGAATGCTAAGTGAATGCTAAGTGAATGCTAATTGAATGCTAAGTGAATGCTAAGTGAATGCTAAGTGAATGCTAATGTGAATGCTAAGTGGATGCTAAGTGAATGCTAAGTGAATGCTAAGTGAATGCTAAGTGAATGCTAAGTGAATGCTAAGTGAATGCTAAGTGAATGCTAAGTGAATGCTAAGTGAATGCTAAGTGAATGCTAATGTGAATGCAAATGTGAATGCTAAGTGAATGCTAAGTGAATGCGATGTGAATGCTAATGTGAATGCTAATGTGAATGCCAAGTGAATGCTAAGGGAATGCTAAGTGAATGCTAAGTGAATGCTAATGTGAATGCTAAGTGAATGCTAAGTGAATGCTAAGTAAATGCTAAGTGAATGCTAATTGAAT